TATATCGCCAACAAGAAGTAAATAAAATTTAAACAAAATTTTGTTAAAATTGAGAATAAGATATTCTGCAGAATTAAAGACGATAAATATTTTAAAAAAGGCTTTCTAATTTAGTAAAATTATTTATCATCATTGCAAATCAACAAAATCACTAGCACAATAAACGTAGTAATTAACGATTGATAGCTTAACCATGCAAACAAAAAACCGTGTCCACACCTAATGCTTTTTCTAGTAAATAAAAGTAAATAAAAATAAAAGTAAATAAGATAAATAAAATTCTGGTTAGGTCGACTAAATTGGTTATTGTCGCCACCAAAAATTTTTGAATCATTTAGCAATAGAAACGCAGATAGGTCGCCAGCACCATCTGCATTCTTCAATGATAGGTTTATTCCCACTTAAAAAAAAATTTAGAATGGACTGGAATTTGATGAAATTTGAAAAGCAAGCTGGTTGACGAACATACGAATGCAAGTATTTTTTTATTACAACAACAAAAGTGTGCGCTTAACAAAGAAAAATCTCTTTGAACAAATATAACAGATCATTTGGGCTATTGTTTAGCTTAAAGATAAATGACATAAATTAATTTCTGCGAAATGCCGAGAGAAATCTAACGAAATGCTCAGTGAATTTTCCTGCGAATTTTTTGGAAAACGATTTCACAAATATAGCAGAAAACTGTAGTGCTCGGCTTTAAATGCTTTGCATCCATTCTAATCCCAAAGCCACAATGGCCAGGCAAAGAATGAAATTATAATCCGGACAAAGATAGCTAGAAATATGTTTTCCGGTTGATGAAAGCGAAACCATCGCGAAATCACCATAAAGACGAAAATCTAAGTCCATATAGCTGCAGTTGGTTCGATCTTGCTATAAGGTTGCTAAACATGGCCAAAAAATGGAAGATATTAAAAAGCTATCAGCCTTTCACCACCCATGTCTAAAATATATTTTACGGATTCGTCGAGCGGATAAATTCACACATGGTTGTATTGTATCATCGCTCAACTACCACCTGTATTAATAATAATGTTATCACAGTGCTGGTTAGGACACGTTCTCTGTCGTCTACCATAGGAATTGACGCATATTTCGCTAAACCCTGTGATGGATGGCATTAAAAGCAAGGAATCAAAGCTAATCAAGACCTGAATTGATACGGAAAAGATTTGAACGTATAGAGGAACCAGCGATATATGAATTTAGACGATGGAAAAAGGAATGGCTTCTATTATTACTAGCGTCGGACCGAGCAGCTTGAAGACGTTTTACTCTTGTAGCCAGCGGAGCCAGCATAACCAGTAATGGTAAGAGCTAGAGAAAAGAAAAAGAATAGTAGAAAACTGCACGCTACATTAAAAATTAAAGGGCAATATAAATCGTTTTAAAAGAAAATTGCTAAAAATTGCAAATAATTAACGAAATGTGCATAACAATCGGTTTAGAAAAAATTTTATTGGCGAATCAAAAAAATGCAAAAATATGCAAAATGTAAATTCAAATAATAAAAAGCCTATCAAGTAAAGTAAAGCGCTCATCACTTTTCTGATTACTCGCTCAGTTTTCTGTAATTCTGTAGTTCTACGATTAGAAATTTTCGCGAAAAAGTCTTTTGGCGTTTCCAAAGTCTACGAAAAATTGCTTTCATACTTAAAATCGTTTTATGCAATAGAAAGTTTCACTGAATCACAAATTTAAAACTTCAATAATACAAAGTATTTATCCATCAGTAATAAATTTTTAGAAATCCTCAACAGTTCATTAGACAAATAAATTATTTCATATTTTTTGAATCCGAGAGTTTCCAGCTATGTAAATACATAGTATAAAAAAAATTTTCGAAAAACTGCTGATGAAATTTTTTATATACAAAAGTTTTTATAAGCATCAATCTTATCATTAAATCACTATCGTGTCATTCTTATCACTTATCGTTCCATAAGAAAAGCGATGATTAAAAGGAGAAAGGAAAAGGAGAAGGGAAAAGGAGAAAGGAGAAATACTGCATTTACAATAGTAATAATTCAATTATTGATAATAACTGATCATCTTCGATTTAATTATAGCAAATTTTAATAGAAATGCTTTCATTTATTGCTGCAAAATGTATGAAAACTTGGATTTTCATAGGCAAAGTAAGAGCAGATGGATTATCATTTGTGAAACAATGACAAATTTTCTAGCAATTTATATTCATTCTTTTGTGTGCATTAAAATATTTTAAATTAAAAATATTTAAATATTTTAAATTAGTACAATTAATACATATGAACTGACCGAAAAATAACAAATACATTCCCAAAAAATATAACGAATGAAAGAAAAATGATCTAAAAGCGATAATTCGATAAGAAATGTTGCAAGTTTGAATTCTATAATTTTTTTATACTTTAAAAAGTACCACAAATTTAACACCAAATATATGTTCATAATTGAAACTGGAACATTGCCAGGTTCGGTTCGTGTGCTTATCGCAAGCACCAACCATCTGTTTGGGAATTCCACGTGCGTCGGACATGCCAGAAGGAGTTGTTTGATCCTTTTACCACAGAGCCATTTAGAGACAAAGGTTACAAGTGGGTCTCTTGAATCGCTGACCTTTCAACTACTGTAATCAGATTTTGTGCACTGTCTTAATTTCTCATAGCCTTTGTATCAACCTTCTAACCAATTTTCTGTGCCTCTTCACAGCATACATTTCGCATTTATGTGATGATTTCTATGCGAAACAGTCCATAACAAAAGATTCACCATCTATGTAGTGACTATTGTATATGCTTTTTTTAGTTTAAATATTTTTTAATAAATCAAAGTAAAATTCGGCAGTGCCTTAAGTTCATTTGACATTAGAACGCAGTTCTATTAAAACTGAATGTAGATGGTGAATGCATTACTTTTTCCTCAGCAATTTGTTGTAGCAATTATTATAATGATAACTTTTGAGAGTTCTCAACAATTCTACAAGTAGGATTTAATAATTTCGATCCATTAGATCTTGCAACGTTAGAAAATTCAAACCATAAAACTATGTTATGGTCTACGCTTAATATAATTAAGGTTACGCAGATAAAAGTTAGCCAGATACTTTATTCTATTAACTAACTTCTATCTACTAACTTGTAATGAGTCTAAACGATTTGATTTCAGTTTTGACTCGTAATTTTGACTCATAATCGATGAGAATTTACATATAAAATACATATCATATATATTTTTTTAAAGAGTCCTCACCATTACTGGTTAAACTCGCTCCACTGGCTTGTCGCATTAGGTAATATGCCAATCAGCGCTCCCAATCGAGCAACAACCCATTAAGCTATTCTATCCCCCACATATTATATTTTAATAAATATATAAATAATAAATATATATTATATAATAAATATATTAATAAATAAATAAATAATAAATAATAATAGAAATAAATAAATAATAAATAAATATTTATTTCGGTAATTTACTGGAAAAAACTAGAAGAATGGCAAACTGTGTTATGTTGGAGAAGTGGCTATTCCTTTAAAAAAACGAAGTATTGGATGAATCTTTTAGCAATGAAGACGAAAATTTCGCATCTCTAATCGTTGAGGCCTAGGAAATAAAAAGCACTGTGTGTTGTTAACGTCAATAAATAATCACAAGAATACGGCACTCTGCATATGTGCAATACCTTGTACTTATATTAGTGGAAAAATAATTTGTCCTCTTTGGAGCCATTAAATTATTCTTTTTATTGACTTGCTGAAAGTCCTCGCGATTTTTCTTGTATATCCCACGTATTTTATTTTTATTATTGTGAAGTTCAGTTTAAATATCATTGTACTGGTTATGAATTCATGCTTTTTTTTAGAGTACGAATAAGGAACAAAGAATTTTTATTTTTTCGGTATTTTTACTCAAAGAAAGATTGGGTTTCTGGCTTTGGCACTTCATGGGCACGATGGATGTACCCCGAAATATGTAAATATGTAACTTTACTAAGAAAAACTTTACACTGGTCTGGACCAAGAAGTAACTCTTGAGTCCTACAAATCTGTTGAAAGAAATGGTGAAAGCTAACTGCAGAATGAAAGATATATAGGGATCCTGCATCATCCACCATCATCTGTCTTCAACAGAGTTTCACTTTTCCTTTTCTTCGAAAATTCTCGAGCTCGAACTTTTATACAAAATTAGCAGGGCATAATCTTTTAAAATAAGCGGCATAAAGCCACAGAAGACCCAGCATATTTTTCTATGTTAGGGATAGTTTATCCAATCGCTATAAATGGTTAGCAGCCACAATTTCTGGTTAAACTCGCTCCAGTGGTTTTCAGTATAAACTTTTGCCAGGAATCACTTGGTGATAAGCGTAGATGGCTTGCAGCATCATCCGGATTTTTATGGTAGCTTCCCTCTTGATGCAAGCAGAATCTGAACTGGCCACCCTGTCTTTATCCAGTTATCATATGAGTAATGGATTTTTGTAATCAGCACGATTGAAAACAAATTACATATTTGCTCTTTTGCAATTTATTTCCATCAAAAAAGTTATTGTTATTTTATTAGATGGACCAACGATAGCCATCATTTTTTATAAAATTTCTGGTGAGGCATCCCTTCCTTTATTTAGAACAAAATTATTACCCTTAAATATTGAAACTCTTATTCATGGTTAAATTATTTTGTGCCCTTTTTTATTTAAAAAATTCGGTCAAATTTTTTCGTATTTCCGATAAACAACTATTCTAACGCTTCTGCCATCAATATAAAACATCAATATTTTTTTAAAACAAATTAATGATAAGAACTAGTTCTTATACCAAGGAAAATAGATCACTATTTCATTTTGAACTTTCTCCAATAATATTTTTTAAATAATATTTTTTTATATGAAAAGGATTCATTTAAGAATTAAACTGGTTTATAATTTTCTTATTGATAAGATAATATTAAAGGGATTCAATATTATTTAAATGGAGAAAAATATATGTTCAGGTGGTTCCACTCTTATAATTATGTTTATGAAGATCTTAACATTTTTTGCCATTTTCATTGGGAAATGTGACCAACGCTCAATGATATTAACAAATTGGTTTGGAAATGGAGTGCGAAATGTTCGTTATATGACAGTTGCAAATAATTTTATCGATACTAAAGGTGTGTTTATTATCCATTGGCTTACTTTTGTTATTTCATTAATGTTCTTTATTAAACGCTGAAAAATTAATTAACCATAAGTATGAAATGATATTTTAAAGGCAATTACGTTGCGAATAAGTCTAATCCACGACAAGAAAGGTCGAAAACGATTTATGACTGTGTTGACATAATGGGAACGATAAGAAAACATGGCGAACAATACGAAAGACCTAATGGAAGATTCAAATATCGCTGCAATAACGGTATGGAAGAAATTGAAGGCAAGTCCTTTCCAAGACTGCCGATCAGACCAATTAAGAGACATGATAACAAAAAAGAGCTCATTTATTCCGCAGTGGTGGTGAGATTTTTTCTTCCTTGGTAGCTCTGAAAGACTATTCAGCAGAAGAGAAGAAAAAATCACCAGAAAAAACATCTATCTGATTCCTCGACAGTTGTCGCAGTGCTATCACATTTCTTGGGAATAGGGAACAGAATTATTTTGTTCTAATCGTACAGAATTTGCTTCACACACCAATGAATATAGTTTCATCAAATATATTGTGGAGGAAACCGAGAATCACTTGGAGAGTTCAGCTCGTTGGTCATCTTCTCCGCAGGTCTTATTGCTTTTATGATTGTGGGTCCATGGTCCTTAGGAAAATGGATAAGGTGCACAACGGGCTCTAACGGGCTTTTGCTTGCTGGCCATAAATAATAATGGGATAGCATCCTATCTTACTCTTTCCAATTCGTTATTTGGCGATTCGTTATTTGGGATAAATGGTTAGCAAGTTAAGCTCATCATATACAAATCATCCGTGCGCAACGCAGAACATAAATATTGAAATTGAATACTTATAACCGAGATATTGCGAAACATTTTTAAGGCGAGTGCAGACCAATCAACTGGTCAATAACCACATGGTTGGTATTGATCATGCTCTTTTGGGCAGTTATTTTTCCATTATCACACCATTTCACACCATTTAGAAGATTTCACCAAATCTTTTGTCCGAAATACCACTATGAAAATAGTTCTTATCCAAACCGGATCACCACTTTGGACCCAGAATTAGGAAGATAGATTTCCGACGAGTAAGCGAAATTACACACACGGTAAAAATATTTGGATAGGGTGTGGATTATTGCCTCGCTATATCCGAAAGCCACGAAACTATGGCCAAGATCTCGTCGTGTGCACATAAAGCCGTCTGACATTCGTTCAATTTTGTTAAATGGGTTAGAGCAATTCCTCTAATCGGAGAACAGCCTAAAGCGTATTAGAGCGTATTCGAGTCTGACTCATTATATTTATTGGATGTACCATTGGATGTACTATACTCGTTTGCGATTTGCTTCATCAGTGCTTTGCTGTGAAGTTACTTGGAATAGAAGTGGGATTCTCATCAGCCATTTGAATTTGTCCAGACATAAGGAATTTCGTAACTGTAATAATTATGGGAAAATATTTTATAAAATTAGAAATAAAAAAAAATGGAAATTTCGCTCTTTAGAGAAGGAAAATCAAAGTGTAGCGAGAAAAATTTTTTTAAAATTTTTTTCTCGCTTTTTAATTTTTTTAGATTCAAAAAACTTAACTTACAGCACTTTGAAGAATTTTTCGCATTATACAAGAACAAATTAATCAAAATATTAATATAGCATTCGTAAGATTTCTTGTGATTACATTTTTTAATTGGCTAAATTTTTTTGGATGAATTTGATTTTTTAATTCAATTGAAATTCAAATTGAAGAGATCTCGACAAAGAAATATCCATAAAATATGGATTTCAGCTTGTATAGGTTCAGAACGAAATGGTAAAGCATTAATCAAAATTGGGAACACACTGGATAAGGATGGTTTCTGGTACAAATGTGCATATTTTCCCGAAAATCAAACTGGTATTTATACTGAAGGTAAGCTTTTAGAGGCGATTTGTGATCTTAAATATTACAAGATTTCGAAAATATTAGTCCATAGATTTAATTATCAAAAAGTTTGATAGAAATCGCTGAAATCAATGTGATTCTTCGCCAAATCAATTAAGTGGTCTCAATCTTATTAATCGTTTTTTATATTTTGAAATAAATTGTCTATAATGAGCATTTATCCAAATATTACTGGATCTTTCATCGTTTTCATTATTGATTCTCTCTATCCCCTTTGTTTTATTAAGAGCCAGCCTGCGAATTGAATAATAAATTTTATCATCTGGGAGACCATATACGATCTGGTTTTTTCGTTATGGAATGTAATGAGGACGGCTACAAAATTATTGGTATGTATACTAGTCTATTTTTATATTCCATTAGTTTAGTCTGTTTTTCAACGGCAAAATTTTTTATGAAAAAAGTTTTAATTTGAGAAGCAAATTATATAACCAAAAGTTTGACAATTTTGCTGAGCTGACTTGAATTTTTTCCTGGTTTCTCGCTTCATTTAACGAAGCAGTTTTGAAGAAATAATGTTGATGCAGAATTCATCACTTTCAAGAAAAAAAAATTTTTTTCCAGGCTTATATATGATTTTATAGAATAATAATAATAAATATAAATATAAAAATCTTGCTTGTAATAAATGAAATCACCTTTTAAATGCTAAAATTTTTGTTAAAATTATCAAAGGATGTTACTACCTGAGAAAGAATAACGAAACCGTCGAAATGAAACCAGGAACAACTGAGGAATCCGATAGCCAAACGCATCATTGTGATAATGAAAATGGAGCTATTAGCTACTATACCACTGGTTTTTATTGTTTATCACAATTAAACAAAATAATTTCTTTTATATCGTAGATTCTCTATCTTAGCATTGAAGTTTTTCTCTTCTATATTATAAGGCATTCGCCTTTCATATTCTTCTTTTAATATGACTTCTGGGTTGGCTCGCTTCGCTGGCTATTACGATAAAATTCAGCTGGTTATGTCATATTAGCTAGCTTGGGCATTAACAAATCAATTTATTAATGAAGTTAAGCAATAAAAATTCATAATGTTATTCTTTTTCCCATATTTAATTTAAAGGTGCTGTTTGCATAAAGAATAATCACGTTTTCAAAGAAGGAGAACGTTATGCAGCGAACCATTTGCACTATGAATGTAAGGCTGGAACACCATTGATCACTGGTTAATTTCTATAATCAAAATGGAATTGAAATTGAATTGAAATATTTTACTATTCATTTTCGATTGAAATGAGGTGAAAATTTGATTTGAGAATTCCAAGGCTTGAGTAGACGAATTTTTGGCAAAATATTTTTGTAAGACCATCAAAAAGTCTGAAGATTAAGTCTGGTTGACATTAAAAAATATTTTTATTCCAGGATGTTATACCAATGAGAATCGAAAAATGCAAGTTGGCGAAGATATCATTGAGAAAAATATGGTTTATAGATGTTATAGGTCTATTTATGAGAAATTATTTACTGATTCGAAGATAAAGAAGCACTAAAGAAAATTTAAGCTAAAGAAAATTTAATTTAACAGGCTGAATAGTTTGATCCATTATGAAGAATATGCATGCGGATTTCGGGGAACACCTTCTTGCAAGCCAGAACCAATACAAAGTGAACCAAACAATCTGATAAATTTTAATCGTAGTTTCAACTCGTTTAGCATAGCCCAGGTATGAACTAAGCTTTAATTCCACCGTTTAGAGTGGAACTTAATTGTATTAGATTCTTTCTCTATTTTGTGAAGAATGCGCACAGTATTAATGTAATCGCTGATCTGATTTGCCGTTCGATTCTCCGCATATGTAATGATCGACATTAACATTTTTGCTGTAGATTAAAAAGCTAATCAATAATAATCAATTCAGATGATTCTATATCTGAATTTCAGCTAACTCAAAGAACGGGAGAGGACAAAATTGTTGCTGGATCTAGTTCAATTTCACTTGTTCCAGTTATTTCCGCCATTGGATAACACCTGAAGAATAATATATATATATGAAACTCCAATTTTCGCAAAAAAATTTTATAATAAATCTGTTTGGAAAGACGAAGATGATCGATTGATCCTTCTGTGAATTGAAGAATATATAATAAACAAAAATTTAAAATTTCTAATATATAAATAAATAAATACAATACTAAAATTTTGCTAACTTACAGTGAAATAGATTTTTGGATACTTATTAATTGAAACGACAGAAGATCGCACAATTATTAGTTTTGCTTTGGTCTCATATAATTATGAAATTGAACTTTCCCTGCTATTTTCCGAAAAATTAAAACTGAAAGAAACTAGCAAATAAAATTGATGAGCACCCTCTCCTCTTCTCCTATTTACAACTTTCTATTAGTCTCCAAAATTTATCTAAATCAGCTAAATCGAAATTCAACTAATAAGAGTTTCCTTTAATCTTAAGGATGATAAAGGCAAGCTGTGTCGTATGTCGTATTCTTTCTAATCGATATCCATGATTCCAAGGTAAAAATTTAAATTTAATTTAATTTAATTAACATGCGAAAAATGTGCATAATATAAAAAAGGTTGAGAACCACTGGTCTAAATCATATAATTCTGATGTGCTCATAACCTTTTTGTTATCGAACATCTATAGGAGAGAATTTTTGTAGTTTTCATGAATTCTGAATTTCGCATGAAACTCGTCTCATAGATGTCATAAAGTATTTACTGATTTTCACTCGCGCTATTCGAAAAGCGCAATCGTGAAATTATGTTACGTTGGAAAAACATTTGACAGAGGCTCATTTAATATAAAACTTGGTGTGAACTTTTTGCATCTCCATGATAGGCAAATTCAAATAACTTTTTTTAAAGGAATTAATTTCTTTGCTATTTTTAAAACTTTAAATTTTTAAAATCATTTAAGATTTGATGATGGCAAATAATTAATTAATTTGCATGATATTTGCATGTTTTTTTTATCTCATTGCAGAAGAATTCTCAAATTTCTAAGAATTTCCTCTAATTCATTTTGCTTTGATATAACTGCTATAAAATATACTACCTTCATTTTTGATAACGCTTCATGGCGATATCGGTAGATATGTTCTCAACTGATTTCATGGAAGAAACGGCCTACTAGAATGGCCAAAGAAGTGATCTTTCAGTCAATTGTTAGCATGGAAGACAAACAAATTTTGCATTAACATATGGTGAAAATGATGCATAATAAAAAATAAAAAAATAATAAAAAATATAAGGATCCCAAATCTTCTAAGATTTGTAGATTTTCAATTAGACGGCTCAATTAGGCAATAATAGGAAACTATTCCGCCTTCTTCTTAAACAACTATAATTCGGAGAACGATCAGTGAAATGGTAAGGGGCAGCAATGGCGTTCCTGTTAAGAATATAAAGGATCGCATCATAAGATGGAAAGAATTCATTCTTTGAGACCAAGCTTAACCATGAGGCGCCATCTGTTCCTCATTTAGCTGATACGTTCGCTGAACCATACGCTTACAATTGTGAGCCTCTGATAGAAATAATCTGATAGAAATAAATAAGAAGAAATAATCTCTGTTATCCATAAGCTTAAGGACAATAATGGTCTTCGGGTTGAACTCTTTAAATGTTGTTCATCGACCTTCATAACACACCTTTAATAAATGTATTCTCTGGTATAGAAAAAAGAAATATTACCAGATGATTGGAGCATAGAAATTCTCCTCCCAGCTCTTAAGAAAGGTAATAGGACATAAAGCGACAATTATCGAGGTATCAGCCTACTAGACGTCTCAGCGAATGTTTTTTCTTTTCTTTTACTCAACAGACTTATGGAAGTACGAGACAGTAAGATGCGTCCTAATAAGCTGGATTTATATCGGGGTTGTACTGACCAGATATTCATGTTAAAAAGGGTATTGAACATCGCTTCAGATATTTCCAACCCACTGTCACGTGTTTCATCGATTTTGCGGCTGTCTTTGATTCAATTGATAGAGTAGCGCTTTGGAGGATGGTGGAATGCGACGTTGTTCCAGAGAAGATCATTCGACTCATAAAAGCATTTTATGAGCGTACGTCGGCGCAGGTCTATGTATGGGGAACTAACAGACTCCTTCGAAACAAGTACTGGCGTTCGCCGAGCTGATAAAATATCATATGATCGCTCAAATACCACTTGCATTAGTAATGTTATTATAGTGCATCACTTCGCTGGTTAGAGTGCATTCTCCATCATCAACCACAGGAGTTCATGCATATTTCGTTATTTGCTAAACCGTGCGATGGGCTGATACGGACAGAAAAGATTTGGAACATATAGGTGTACCAGCACTATGTAGACTTAGACGATGGAAAAAAAAGGCTATTACTGTCAATATTAGGCGCGCCGCTTGGAAGCGTTGTAGCCGTTAAAGCCAGCCTAATCAGTAATGGAGAGCTGATAGAAGAAGATGAGTTAAAAGTTTCAATATTTCAAAAGTTTCAAGATGAGTTTCAATTAATGAGTTTTTTAATTTATTAAATAATATTCTAAAGTTTTTTCTTTATATAATTCGAATTATATTGCTGTACTTTAAAAATAAAATTGGTAATTAACAATCAAATTTTACTTGACAATTCATACAAAATCATGCAAATAATCAAATCATTAACGCATAAAATAATAGTTTTTTAAATATTTCTACATTGAGTAATGTTATTTTTAAAAAGAAAGGTATATATATTTGATATTTTGAACGAGCATTTATATCAGATTCATGAATTTCTTCCAAATTTAACCTCCTTCGCTTCGTTCATTCAAATGGCTAAATCAAGATCATAAAGAAATAGAAAAGTTCTTGGATAAAAAGCTTGCGATATCTAGTCGTTTTCTCTATTGTCCAGTGTTATTCAATATTTTTATTTATGAACAGTGCTTTGTTTCAAGATCAACAGACATGTCTATTAGTCCGTCGAATTTCTGAGCTTTCAATATGATTCTGGTCCAAATTATAAATGAAAGGACAATCCAGTCAGGAACTTATTATAAATCGACTATGTCTTCACTGATTATTAGCATGTATTTTTATGGTAATAAAGGTAAAGAATATATTTCAATGCTCATTTAGTTTCTTTCAGTTCTTGTTGCTATAATTATCATTTCTTTTTCTCTCTCTTCTTTGTTCTCCCATCATTACTGGTTAAACTGACTTTGCTACCTATAAGATTTCAAGCTTTCGATCGGATGCCATCTCTGATAGAAATCTCTGATAGAAGCCATTCCTTTTTCCATCGTCTAAGCATATGTATTGTTAGGTACACCTATACTTATTTAAAGCTGACTTTATCAGTTCAAGTCATGATTGGCCATCTTCGCTTTTGACGTCATCTATCACAGGGTTTAGCAAGTAATAAAATGCGGTGGGCGGCGTTTTATTTCAAAAAAATCCCATACACAGACCTGTATGCTAATATGAGTCGAATGACCTCTGAAACACCGTCATATTCCATGAAATTCCAAAGCGCTGTTAATTGAATCGAAGGATGCAGCTGCAAACTCAATGAAACAAGTGAATTGCCCTGGATTGCTGACATTTAAATATATTGAAGCGATATTCTAACACCTTTCTTAAGATGGATATGTGGTCAGTACAGCCGCTTCCTGGTCTAAATCCAGCTTGGTTAAAAAGCATCCTACTGTTTCTTACAGTCAGATCTATTCAGCAGGAGGGAAGCAAAAATTTTCTCGAAAATGTCTAGCAGGTAAGTAAGCTGATTCCTTGCTTAGGAATTGGGAGTAGGATTGCAATCATCTGATATTATTTTTTCTTCCATACCAGAAAATATATTTGCTAAAGATGCGATATGAAAGACGATGGACAACATTTGAAGAATTCGACCAGAAAACCATATTTTCCAGGAGTTTTGTTATTCATGAGGTTGTAGATAACGCTGATTATTTTCTCTCCTGTTGGTGTTTACAGTTGCAAACATATGGCTTGACGAACGAATCAGCTATGTCTGGTATCATTATGATTAAGTTTGACTTTAAAAAATTCCTTCCATCTTACGAGGCGATCCTTAATAGCCTTAACAGGCACACCAATAATATACCATTCTGTACCATTTTACTGACCGTTCCTCGAGTTGCTTTATGCAGAAGTTTCCGAAATAGTTTTCTATTATCGCCTAATCGTTTCATTCCTCTCCATTCTCACTCCAATAGCGATATCTGTCCAGCAAGCCTGCTCTCATTGTAATTTTTCGAAGCATCCGACAATCATGATCGCCTGACCTTCGTGTTTTGGAAAAATTTTCGGATAATTGGACAGTTGCTTCCAATACTTAACTAGCATATTTATTACTAGCATATTCCAGCGTGGAAGTGGCGGCCGACTTTCGGAGATTGGTACTTTTTCTGTGGTACTTCAATAATTCGGTTTGGAAATGCACTTACCATCCTCAAATATTTTAGTTTGAGTTAATTAAAAGGTTTGTTCCTTGCGAATTGTCAACTTTATGAATATCTTAACTCGAACCATATCTGATCTATGAATGTAACCAGTTTCAGCGCCACGGTAGGAACGATTGTTTAGTATGGAATTCTTCCAATTGAGATATAATCAATCTAGTAATAGCCGGGAAATTCCACGTAACATGAGATGTTTTCTCTTAATTCGAAGATTGTATTAGTAATAAAATGCCATGCTGTTTGGTAAAACGAAGAATCCTCCATTGGCACCAGGTTCCAGCGCCATATTGTTCCTTCTCGCTTTTGACGCTATCCATCAAAGAGTTTAGCAAGTAGCGAAATAAGTATCAATTCCTCTATTGGGCGACGAAGAATACACCCTAAATGCGGACTTTCGTAATGGTGATGATTCTGCGACGACTCCATAAAGGATTCGTGACTGGAAGAACGCATTTCTTATCTAGATTCTAATTACATGAATATCTGATCAGCACAACCACTCCTCGGCGAATCCAGTTTGATTGGGGCGCATTCTGCTATCCCATAAGTCTATTGAGTAAAAGGGGAGCAAAAATTTTCGCTAGTCTCATAGTCTCATTCCTCGATAATAATTGTCGCAATATGTCCTGTAGCCTTCCTTGGGAATTGGGAGCAGAATTGCTTTATTCCAGTAACCAAGTATCATTTTTTTGCCGTACCAGAGAGTACATTTGTTGAAGATATGATATGAAAGACGATGGGCAAGATTTAAAGAATTCGGCCTGAAAACCATAACCTCTGGAAGTTTTATTGGCCATAACCTTTTGGGTGACAGATATTATTTCCTTTCGCATTCGCGTTTTCAGGCATAGGGCTCGACATGCTACAGATGTTTCGTCGTTAAGCTTGGCCTCAAAGAATTCCTTTCATATTATAAGGCAATCCTTAACAGGCACACCATTACTGTCCCGTATCATTTCGTTAATCACTTCTGAGTTATACTTTTATGTTTATAGAATAGGCGAAATAGTTTCCTATTGTCATCTAATCGAGCTACTGTCTCCATTTTTACTATATTGCTCCCATAGCGATTTCTGTCCTGCCGTGCTGCTGTCTAATTTATAAGGATTTTCTGACCTTTGGCATTTTCAAAATGTTGGATAGTTACTTCCGACATTCATCTAGTATATCCCAGTGTGGAAATAAACGATTTTCGAATATACTTTCAGCTGGACCACAGTGTTCATTCGGTTATTCCAGAGATGTCATTGATATCCATTTCACTGATCCAATAATTCGGTTTGAAATGCGCTTACCATCACCTGCTTCCCCCAAATCTTTTAGTTTGAAATAGTTGAAAGGACTTGGAGAACGGTGTTTTTTGCGAATTGTGAATTTTATGCGGATCTTGGCTCGAACCGTAACATAGTCTAATGAAAGTTTTTACGCCCCAGTAGGAACGGCTGTCTAGTATATGAAACTGTTTTAACGGCGAGTGACTAAATATAACCAGTCTAATTGGAGTTGATTATCCTGGGAATTCCACATGACTAGATATCTTCAATGCGCGAATCTTTTTATTAGTAATAAAAACACATAAAACATCTTTTAAAACATCTTTTTATTAGTAATAAAAAGTTTATGTTGTTCGGCAAAATGAAGAAGGTGTTCTCCACTGGCACCAGATTTCAGTACCATATTTGCCAAACACCGAGTTTATCGTGCCATCGTGATCTATGCGCGTATTCCAGCTTCTCCTGATTATGCCACTTTTCGGTAGAGATATTGTTAATAGCTGAAGTCTTGCATAGAACTTATCCTTGTCACACTCATCTACGCAGAAAGTTAGAGCATATAGGGAAAGCGAATGTAGACCATACTTTCTTTTACCGACTTCCACACAATCACAAGATCTAATTCTGCATTTATTGAAATACTTAAAAAACTCAACGAAGAATTTGAATGATATCAATAATTTGAAAGCCTTGCCTTTGGATAGCAACTTTGAGCCTCCAAAAATCTCAACTGAGTAAATATTGCAAACTATTGATAAATATTTCGAAAAAAAGGAAAAAGAACCATGTCTAGTTGGCGTAAATATCCCGGAGAAATCTACGGATGATGAAACTGTTACTGGCGATAGGCTCTTAGCAGAGAATATGGTAGCTGCAGCTGGGATCAAGACTGACTACATCAAGGAAGTTTGTCGACATTGTAGGAAGGGTTCAGACAGGCCACGAGTACTTAAGATTCGATTTAAAGATAAATACATGGCTATGTCTGATTTGAGTAATAAGAATGGGCACATTACCCATGCACCCAGTCTTTTTGCTGAAAGACTTAACGAAAAGGGAACTATTGCTAGGCAAACAGTGCGAAGAGAATATTATGTGCGAAATCAGAATGTCAATCTGAAGAAATATGTTGTCAGAGATCTGTTGTCAGAGATCTTCAAATAGTGAATTCAGGTAGCCTCGTCAAGCTTCTCCCATCAATGTACTACAGTCTAGGACAACTTGACAACTTAATAAAATAGGAAGTAATTTATAGGAAGTAAAAAAAAATAGGAAGTAATAACTTATATATTTAATGCAAGAAATTTAAATTAAAGCCTACAGTTCTAACTAAAATAAACCCAAATAGTATTTTTTGCATTAATGAAACATAGTTGGATGACTTTACTGATAATCGGGAAATAAACTTCGATGGCTTTCTAGTATCACGCAAGGACAGAACAATAAATAGTTTAAATTCATGCAGGATTTATCACGCTTATTCCTCATTATTATAAATTTGTACCTTTTGATGATTTTGTTTATTCCTCTTTTGAATCTCTAATAACTGAAATTTATCTTAATAATCGAAACATTTTCCTTTTAAATATACACCGCCCACCTGGCTATGGAAGTAAATTTACTAAATCACAGCAAGTAGAAATTCAAAAGCGCAATTACCATCAGCCATCTTCCCAATATGGATACATCAAGCTATGCTAAAAGCATTGTATCGCTCATTCATCGAACGTGAATTTACAACGAGGATACTGGGATATCATTCGAGTTGCAGAAATGTGGCCGGATGGTATTAGAAAGGAAAAGTAATAATGACTAACCTACAGACTATCCCACTATCCCACAGTCACATGATCACATTCACACATGGCCACCACGAAAACAAGGAAGACTGCAACACCTAAGTATGACCAAAGAATGAGACAAATCCTGAATAGCCAGCTCAGTGGGACAAAAACAAAATCTGTGCCATAAGCATATACCAGTCATCAAATATATAAGCAGGTGGTACAATGAAGTAGACAAAATAAGACATGGAGGCTGCTGATGTGAAGGCTTGGAAATTCCTCACAATGAAAAATTCCACTATCAGCCAGAGAGACCCAAAGATACCAGTTGGAAAGAAGGGGAGTGGGTCCCTTAGTGAGTATGAAGGCTCTATCTTGAGCGAATTCCGAAGTATTCAGGAATACATCAACATTCAGGAAGATGGCACGAAAAGATGAGTTGAGAGAATCTGAAGCATCTATAGACACTGGAAAAAGACCAAGCAGAAGAAAAATCCTGCACGGGCTATACAAATACCTGCGGTAGATATTAAGAAATCATACCAGTGGTTAGAAAAGGCTTGATTAAAAGGCAACTAAAGAATTAAAGCATAAGAGCAAGTATTAAGCACTATAGATCAATTGAAGCAGGAATCTACCACAGGATTTAAATCATGCAAACAAACTGTGCAAAAACAGCCCCAATACATGGTGGCAGGAACAACATACATTGGAAAGCATAACCAAGTAGCTGGCATCATCGAGAGGAATGTCTGCTTAGCATGTACCTTAGACCCTTCCAAGACTAGATGGACTAAATGGAAAAACACAGAAAATCGTGAACAGGGAGAAGACCTGTGCACTTCTCCATCCAGACAGGCAAACAAGTGCCTACCAATCAACATCGACATCGGTTTAATAGACAAAGACCAAAAATCAGCACTGGTGATATAAATATAGATATAGATAGCAATAGCGAGTGGCAGGAACTATTAGGAATAAAAAATATGAGAAACTAAAGAAGTACCAAGGGATGGAAGATAAGCTAAAGAAGATGTTGAAAGTGAAGGCTAAAGCAGCGATAGGAGCATTAAGAATTGTACCCTTTAAACTAGAAAATTGGCTTCAATAAATTCCAGAAACAATATTATTTATCCAGAAGTGCTCATGATAGAACAGATAGCCTATCTCCACTGCAGCAGGACCTCAACAGAATAGCCAACTGGTTATATGATGGGCAAATTACTCTTTCCTTTCAAAAATGTAGCGTTCTTCATATTAATTCTAAAGGTTTCGATTTTCTTAATCTTTTTATTAATGGTAATATAATCAGTAAAGTCTCACAGATTTCCGATCTTGGATTAATCATGGATAAAAATCTCGATTTCGACCTTTACTGCAGAATCATGGTAAAGAAATCCTCAAAGATACTAAATTTTATTTTTCGTTCGTTTAAAAACAAAACTGAAGATTATTCCTTATCAAAATGTACAAAGCGTTCGTTCGGCCATTTCTTGACTACATGTTACTACATGTTACTTCCCGAGATATCGTAAATCAAGTAAAATAATTGAAAAACTTCAAAAATATATGGCGCCTCTCTCCTAATTGTTATTTTAATTATAAATTAAATTTAATTATAATATAATTTAATTATAAAAGAAAACTTCTACAATATAACCTGGATTCTCTGTCAATTCGACTTATTAAACAAGATTTAATTTATACATTTATACTTATAAGATTTTGTTTGGTTATGTTAAACTAGATTGTTCAAAATATTATAATTTTACGTTAAATTTAAATCCAACAAGAACTAATGGGCTAAAATTACTAAAACCTGTGTGTAAAACTAAACTAAGGACTCATGATTTCTTTATTCGTAATTAATTATTGGAATAAATTACCAAACAATATAGCTTGTGCGTCATCCCTAGCTATCTTTAAAAAAAGATTAGATAATATCATTTATGATTTTATTTAAAAGCTCACATCATGCAGGAAGTCTCGATTTTTACCATTCGATTATAGTTATTTCGAATTGTACTATATTATATTATTTTGTAATTTCCTTTCTTTCATCTTTAAATTGTTAATTTTATTTTTTTTTGCTTTTTTCATTAATTCTTATTATTTCTTTTAAATGTTGTTATTAATACAAGCACATGACGTTTGCCATGCTTGGCTGGTTTTCAATAAATCAATATATAATAGTTCGAATTATATTATATTTTGTAATTTTCTCTTTATTTCCTCTTTAAATTATTAATTTTTTGTCATATTTTCTTTTTTTTTTATCATTAATTCTTATTATTTGTTATTTTAACTATTATTAATACAAGCTTTTCCTGCTTGACTGGTTTTCAACAAATAAATAAATTATTTAGAGCTTGCGAGCATATCACATTTTCAAACTTTGAAGTCGTTTGATTTCGCCACCACCTGGCTGGTAGCATCAGGCCCATTAAGACCAGACTCTTTTGCCATTGAGTCACTTGGGAATAGATTTATAGGATCCTCAGCAGTCACCAGGATTTCTGAGATCATGATAGGTTTACTCCTGTCAAAACAAAGGAAAACGGAATTAGAAAAAAAAAATAAAATATAAAATAAAAAGAAAAATTGAAAAAATAGAACATTTTTAAAAAATTGAACTTAATTTATTTCATGAAATTACGTATGCATAAATTACATAAATTATAAATTACATAAATTATAATTTATAATTTATTTTCAATCATTTATTTAAAGAAAACTTAGCTTATTGTTTGTAGAAATTTTGAAAATTCAGAAAAATGATATTTCAATTTTTTATGGCATCATGCGAAGTCGATTATCATAGGATTATAAAAAAGGGCCAACAATCGAATTTTGATTCATTTAAATAAAATGTCAACGAATTTATGAAAATGGAGTCGGAAAAGCGTTTTAAAATGATCTAATTTTAACTATTAAAAAATTATAAGATTTATTAAATGCAGCTTTTATTCCTTCAAAAAGAGGTGGTTAATATGATGATAAAATGTTGTAATCTGTTTTCCATGTGACAATATGAGATCGATTACTGTGAACCGGTCGGTCTATATAAAACGACAATGTTGTTAGAAATCAAAAGAAAAATTCAATTTTTTTTTGAATTTCATGTCGAATGAATTTGGTTCAAAAGTATTCCCCTTGGTAAATATGGATTATTTGGGCCTTTCTCAGTACGAGATTGAGATCAAACGACTTTTCTCACTTGATCGAGCTTCATTGATTAATCATCCTCTTGGTGGTTTCCATGTTGGAGCTGATATCACCGCAAACGTGGTTATTAGTTAATTTTTTTTCATTTCCTTTTTAAGTTTTTTTAAAATAATAGTTCATGTTTTCATTATTACGGCGGAATCGTTCGAACTCTTTCCATATTTCTATTCATTCGACAAAGATTAATGGAATTATTTAATGGGGCATTATATCGAAAATTTAAATGAAAATAATTATTATATTGGGTAAATTTTGCTAATTTCCGTTCCACTGCTACTGATATTTTGCAAAAATTTTGTAGTTATAAAATGAATTTTGATTTATTTTATTGCCGAAATTTATTGATAAGGCATACGGCAAGTGAGGTTGTTAGCTGTTAAAAAATCACTTCAACTTTCTTATACTGAAATAATTGTTTAGATTACGCTAAATGTGACCAATCATCGATTAGGACGACAATCATTGAAGGAAACTGAATCGTTGAAGGAGAACGATGATCCGATTGGCCTTAAATTTAATCCGAAAAAGGTCCGTTTCGATCTCGAAGTTAAAAAAATATTTTATGATACCAAAGACGAGCAAAGTTAGAAATTATTTTCTTATTTTTCCATGTGGATTAATTTAGATTTAGATTTCGGATTTCTTGAGAGTCGATCGCTATAAAGTGTTTGATTGCATATAAGAGGTAATAAACGAGTATTAAATTCCCATATTTTGTATGAAAGAAACATTCTTCTTAATTGAAAAACCATATTTTTAGTGCATCTTTATTTGTTAATTTAGATGTTCTAAGAGCACTCTTCTAGTTAGATTCGCTGGCTTGTTGGATCAGATAAATTTTACAGCGAAGGCACATAGCAATAAAGGTAGAAACAGAATAGGGTCACCTACCATCTGGATTTTGAAGAACAAATTTTCTCCTGCCGCGAGTGGATCTCCAGCATCTGCGCTCTGAAGTGAGAACTCATTGAGCCATTCCACTTCTAAACTTAATCGTTTAGAAATATTTTTGTTTTTGTTTTTATATATGAATTTGTATTGCATTTACTATCAGATAATGATTTAAGAATTTTTAAAATTTCGATATTATATTCCTGATTTGTCGAAAATAAATTTGTTACGACTCATTAAAAACGAAATCGATGTTTGTTACAGATTTTAGAATCTCAACATTCGTAAAGACACCAAGCAATGTTCAGACAATTCCCATTTGGCAATGAGCAATGAGCAATGGCCTGTAATAAAATAACATTTTCCAATTGCCGCATTGTAATTAAGTGCTCATTAAAGCTCACTTTGTAAAAGAACTTGAAAAAAGTTCCACATCCCCACCAAAAAATTCGTTAAAACCCATGTGAACTGCTTATCAACCTCATTTTCTTCATTTCTTCCTAACATTCAAGAAAAACTATCTTATTTTATCAAAATTTCTGACGCTCGAAAGATCGATCACAGATTGAATTAGATCCTAATGCAGATCCTAAATTATTAAATTATCATTTAATGCAATTTCTTCAGAGGTTGCGCATAATTGACTAAAAAGAAATGGAATTACACTATTTTTTAACGAAAACAAAAAACTTGTTCTTCGCTATAATCAACAATAAAATTTGCCCTTCGATCAGTGATCAGGATATTATCAATATTAGAGATTCATTCGGTTAAAATTCCCAGTGTACCCGAATGATATTTTCAATTTATGTTGGGTATGCTTATCGCTTCAGAAGATTGACAAGATTAGCTTAGTCCAGTGAATATGCAGAAATACGAGAATATGCACTTTATTAGTATAAAATATTAGTTTTGTAAAAATATGGTCGATAAAATCTATCATGGAAAACAAGGCAATATACAGTTAATAACAAGGCAATATAAGAAATGTACCACTAAATAAAGTATAACCTCCATAAAGCCTACACTACTCGTTTTTCCTGTGGTTGCTCATCCACTTCCTTTCAGTTATTTATAAAAAAAGCTAAATACTCCATTTACAAAAACAAATCATTGCTCATATACATATACATTTGGCTATACATTTTATTTGACAAATTAAGAGAAAAATTTGGAATGGAAAAGGTTGCTGAAATTAGAACTATTTATGCAGAAATTTATAGCACTGCCCCAATTACAGGATTCATATCGTGGTCGAATGTATTTGGAACAACCTTTTGATACGGACATTTTTCAACCACAAATCATCCGAATTCAATTTTTAATGGAAGATGCCATCGAGATGCGAAAGGCCATTATGAGGTTGCGAATAGAGAATTCGAAATAGAGATAATTTATTAAAAGGTATTATCAGAGACGGACCAACAGAGACCAATGAACGAAGAAAGAATGTTGAAAAGATATTGACCATAATAATGATGTAATGACACCTTAGTTACCAAGTTACCAATGTTATCAAAAACGGCTCGCGTTCGAATTCTGCCAGTGCATCCTTGGCAAATTTCGGGTGGCAAATTTACCCTGTGAATACCAATGAATAAAATTCGAGTAGTTTATAATGGCTTGGCTTCAATAAAGTTAACACCAATCCTCGTCCTTGAGAATATTGAGAATATGGAGTAGCCAAATAAGCTATTGGCTACAGTTCTATTTTCACAATTACCGAATACACTGGAAACATTAACATGAATGCATTCAAACCAGTAGAATTCAACATGGAAAAGCTTTCCTAAAGAATGAAAATTTTCAGTTTTGCTTCCATGCATCAATGGTTTACTAAAATTTTCCTGCTTGAATCGCATTTAAAATCATTTGAAACTTGCAATTTACCTGCTCATTGAAAGTAAAGTCAAATAACGTAGTATAATCTAGTTTCTCGAAACTACTACGGCATGCAGTTAAAGAGGACCATGAGCTTCCACGAAATCGGTGAAAGACTCCGTAAGCTTCCCTGCAGTCATAATGACGTACGGTCGAAAACGTTGAGAATGATGTGATTCCCACTTTAGACGACAGAAATCAAAAAAAACGTTAATAAAAACGTTAAATTCAATGTATAAAGTGAAATTTTAAAAAGAGAAATTTGTGAAGCAAATGAAGCAATTTTTCTCGGGAGCAAAGCTCTATTCGTTGATTTGAAAAACCTCAGACCCATTAACTTACAGATTTCATCATTTCTGAGTCCTTAATATAAAATCCTTAATATATAATTCTATATTCGCCTTTCAATAGAAATAAAATAAAATAAGCCTTTTGTTCTGAGTCTTTCTGAATGAGGGGAGCAGTTAGACAAAAAAATTACCATTGCCTTAAAATAAAATTAAGGATTAAGGTATGTAACATATTCTGAGTTAAAATAAAGTAGTATAAAGCAGAATGAAATCATATGCATCTTTTAAATTATGGCATGATACAAAAAAAATATTTAAAATATTATGTTATATACATTAAATAATAATACCAGAATATTATATATAGAATAAAAAAAACAATGGAATTAATCAGGAATTAGTATTTTTTTAGCATGTTTGCATGAAATATAGAATATATTCACCAGATTCAAGATCCAGTAGCAGGGAAATTTGCACCGTCAATATGTAAAAAAACGATCAAACACTGGAATCTAGAACGAAATTTCCGAACAAGATTAAGAAAATCAAGAGATCAAAAACAATCAAAATCAGTGAACATTAAAGCGATAAGAGAATTTTTCTGGAATAAGACGACAAACAATCTTCATCGTCGATTTTTATTTCGTCGTCACTTTCTTTGCGCCAATCAGGAATGTAGAAATTTTCTTTACTTTGTTCCAGCCTTTGTTCCAAATTCTCAATTTTTTTCGACTTCTACAGTGAAGAAAATTTCAATTTTTTAAGGGAACAAAATTAACAGATTTTACAAATGATTTTTCTCTTGTAGATTTTTAGCGAGATTCACATTTTTCTAGCACACTAAAAACGAAAGTAATAAAAACGAAAAATCAAATCAAGTTCATATTATAAAATATAATTAAGCATATAATGTAATATATGTTGAATTTAAAAATAGCATGTATAAATAACATAATAATAAATAATTTACCTTAGATAACTTACAATACAACGTCTCAACTTTGAATGAATCAACTGTAGACAAATTAATTGGACCAAATGCACTTGAAGATAAAATAGGATCAGAATTTCTCAATTGCGCTATTTCATCAATATTACAACCATGTTCAGCAAGAAATCGTTTTAGCCGATCAACCATTTCCTTAAGAAATACTATTTTCGATTGATATGATAAAAAGCATAACCAATGGACAGACAACATAAATAAAACGACAATAAGCATACTTAAATGGAACATAAAACTTACATAACGTAAAACTTCTAATAAAAAAAGAAAATAGGCCAACCTGGAGCATTCTCTTAATTTCCCGTGTACAATCAAGCTTTATCTTCGTTGCTTTTAATATCGATTCCATTTCAATCAAAAAATTTTCTCTTTTCTCATATTTTCTTCTTAAAATTTTGATGATAACTTTGGATCTAATAAATTTGCCTTCCAAATAGCGCATTTCTCTTTCTTTTTTCGTGGCTGAAATGAATTTCGAAATTAAAACAATACATAAATAAACTCGATAAATAATGGTACGAAGGAAATATTTTATATGGAATTTTCAAATGAGAGGTTTACCATTGTGCTCGAAATTATCCTTAGACAACAATTGCTTAGTCCCCTGTAAAACACCATTTCTTTCTTTAATTAATTTTTTAACTTTTTGCGAAAATTCTTTCTAATCAAGGGTTACAGGGTTACGAATTAAAAAATTATAATAATTTATTAAATTATAAAATTATAAATTATATTATAAATTATAATATATAATTTTTAATAATCTCATTCAATTTAATTCAAAGATCGGGAAGATTGGAACAGCCTCACCCTAATCGCCACTAGAGCCAGCCAAATTGGCAATAGTGCGAACTGCAAAGAGAATCCGAGTGAATGGCTACAAGGTAGGTGGAACAGGGTAGATAGTGGTTGCTGGATAAATGGACCAAAAGATTAATATTAAGAAAGAATACGATTTTATTTTATTGCTTAACAAAAATTTCAGAAAAAATTCATTTGTTTCTAGATAAATAAAAAATTTCGGAAAAATTGATGGATTACAAAAAAAATTTTCCCATCACATACATAGCTACCGCAATAAAATAGAATTTTTTTATAATTTTTAAACTAACTTTCATTAATGGCTGTATAACATTTTGCTTCCAACTGAATTAATTCTCTTTCTTTTCCACTAAGTAATCTTTTTAGTTCTTCGTTTTCATGATTAGTATCCCTTCGTTTTTGATTGATTTCATCAAAACTTTTCTCCCATTCCTGCGTTTTACCGCTTCGAATATTTCGTAAAAAGAATTTAAAAAAACGGGAAAAAAAGAGAATAGAATAATTTCGACTAAAGAGAGTTTTAAAAAGAGAAAAATTTATATAAATTTTTTTTAAAATCCTATTTTGTCGAAACAGAAACGAAAACAAAAAACTTATGAGAAAATTTTAAAAAATTCGGATGGATTTGGAACAAAAAACATGCAAACCTCGATATAATTTTTAGCATTTGCTATTAGCGACTTTTTTACATTAAGTGAAATTTGCATTTCATCAATTTCCAGCTTTTGATCTTTTATATCATTCTCTAAAATACGATTTTTTTCATTTGATTGTTCTAGATAATTTTCCAGTTGGGTTCGTTTCTTCACTTCCGCTCTAAAAAAATTGAAATTTTCAAATGAAATGAATGAACATCGTAATATTAAATAAACATTGGAAAAAAATCTTAAAAAATACCCTTTTGTCAATTGCACTCAAACATTTAAAAAAAGGATAAAATCCCAGGAAATCCAATTAATCAACAAAAAAACATTGAAAAAGACAGATGATAGAATAACAATCATTACTCTAAATGAGAGCACAGGTTTGCAATCATAGCTTTGGATTTATAATCCGATTCCCTAGCATCGTTCAGTTCACTTGAAATCTAAAATAATACAATAATAAAACAACAAATATTTAACTTTATCCAAACAATTTTATAATCACTGGTTCAAAAAATTTCAGCTTTCAACTATTTTGGACCCACTTTTATAGTAATTGGCTAAACGAAATTATATTTGCCGCAGCAAATGCTCACTCCGATTGGTGAAACCATAAAGGACTCACAGTAAAATCAGTAACAAAGTTAATAAAGTTTGCATCCATCTAGCTGTAGTGTATATAATCTGTTATTGGTTGTTAATGAGAGAGGAAAATATCAAGAAGCCATCCATTTTTGATGAAACCTATTTGAAGTACTTTATAAGCACTTTACGAAGTACCTTAAACAACTTTCAAACGAATTCGAATAGAAAGATTGCATCCATCTTCGAGTACTAGTTAAAAAAGAATAAGACCTATATAGTTTGCTGCTAATGCCTATTTGTGCCAGAAGCTGCAGCACTAAACAGTGAAATCTTGAATTATCGACATTAAAGAGAAATAGCAAAGTTCGGAAACTCTCTGGATTTTTGAAAAACAGGATTTACTCCGTCGAGAATAAACTATAGCACTGGCTTGCCGAATAACTCATTAACAACCATTTAATATAGCTTCCACAAACCTCTTATTGTTGATTTCACAATTATCTCAACCCATTAACATTCTCTCAAAACTTATTAAAGGCCCTTAAACACCAGGCCATGTCAGACCTTTCCTAATGCACTTTTGACATCGTCAATTACAACTTGATTTTTTTAAAACCAGTTGCATTCATTAATATTTTTTAATATTTTAATATTTTGGTGCCATAGCCATTTTCGTCGTTGATATTGTCGTTGCTACTGTTGTTGCTCTTGTAATTAGCGTAGATGCTGTAATCGTTGTTGTCTTTATAGTCGTAGCTACGGTCGTCAGTGTTGTTGTTACCACCATCGGTGTTACCACCGTCGATGTTATTGTTGTTGTTATCATCGTCGTTAATGTTATTATTGATGTTATTGTAATATATATTTTTTAATATATTCTTTAATATTAATATTCTATAATATTAAGGGAGAGGGAGAGACCAATTTTATAGGTTCTTTATTTGTTTCTTTCACTTTTTGTCTTTAATGAAGTATAAACTCTGCAAGCACCATTTTTTTTAACAGGTGAATATTCGAAATTAAATTTAACACCTGATGGCTAAAACAAATATTTAACTATGTAGAATATATTTAAATATTTAAATATTTATATTTCAGGTCCTAAATCTTATCGAATATTTAGTTTTATTAAATGCTTTAACATTTTATCTGATCATTAAAATACTTTCTTTTTCTTTTTCTGTTATCTTTGCGATAAATTCTTTCACCATTTTTCTCTCGTTTTACTTTTTTCACGTGTTATTATAACTGGTTTGTTGCCCAATTGCAGTTTTATATACAAAGTTACAAATATTTAGCTATAGCTAGAATATGGCTTAAAAAGAGAGACGCATTGAGGAAATAAAAAGAGGATCGGTAAAAGGAAGTGAGATGAAAAATCTATAACTGTAGATTCGATGGTTGGGGAATGAGGAATGAGGACATTAAGGGAGAGGGAGAGACCAATTTTATAGGTTCTTTATTTGTTTCTTTCACTTTTTGTCTTTAATGAAGTATAAACTCTGCAAGCACCATTTTTTTTAACAGGTGAATATTCGAAATTAAATTTAACACCTGATGGCTAAAACAAATATTTAACTATGTAGAATATATTTAAATATTTAAATATTTATATTTAAATATATATATATATAAATATATATAAATATATATATATAAATATTATATATAAATATTTAAATATGAATATATATAAATATTTAAATATTTAAATAAATATTTAATATATTTAAAAAATATTTGAATATATACCACATTATATCTTTCTTTCATTTCTTCATATTTCTTTTGGTATTCTTCAAGAATGGAAAGGGTTTTTTTCAAAGCCAAGTCCAGATTTGCAAAAAAATTATTCACCTAAAATAAGAACCAAATATTTCATGAATTAAAAAACCATTAAATTCAAAAAAATACTTTTAAAATTAATTTTATCCGCGAAACTTAAGCGAATTAAAAGCATTTAGGCTTGAATGAAAAATATTATAGCAATAATGAAAAATATTATTTGTAAGGATTAAACCAGTTGTTCAGTATGGCCATTAACAATAAAAAAATTAATAAAATGAGCAACGTACAGCTATATCAATTTTTTCAGCTGAATTATCGCACCGTTCGACATCTGATAACAATTTTATAAGCAGCTGTTTAATATTTGGTGTAAGTTTTCCGTGCATCTGAAATTAGACATATGCCTTTCTGATAACGAAATGACAAGGGCAAAACTAGTCGTAAAAAAGGTTAAAAAATGGATTTCATTGCATTTTCCAGATTAACCAGATTCCAGTAAAAAAATTGCGAAAAATTTTGCTGAAAAATAACAATTATAAAACAATTACCATTATAAATAATTTTAAAAAGATGCAAATAAATTCGGAATAAATAAACAAATGAATAAAATGTGTAATAATACCTCGACATTAATTATACATCTGTGTAAAATATTTAAACTATGGCAGGCTTGTGAAGTACATAAAAGCGATCCACTCTTTTTTCTATTTAATTCAATTTCTGATAATGTTTCGTCGCTGGATATGGATTCAAGCATAGATTTTGCACGATCAACAGAGAGTAGAATGGATTGGCACAATGCAGATTTTCCGATATTCTGAAATTTTCGCTTATAATAATTTTTCCTATATTATGCAAAAAAGCTTACTTTATAAAGAAAGATTGTTATGTCGAAAACGCAAAAATAGTTAAATCAACCAATAGCTAGCAAAAAACCTATTTTAGCAAATGAATTATTTACAGAAAACGTAAAGCTTCTTAAACTATACTGGACTGATGAACCTTTGCTCATTCTTTTTGATATTGGCATAAGATCTACTATGACTATGTTATTTTGAGAATTTCAAAATCTCCAACGTCCACAAGCTTAATTTAAAAATTTGTTTGTAGGTTCAAGTGGATTTCTGAAAAAGTGGCGCAAATTTCAAAAATATTGCCATAAAAATGTTGGAATCATTTAAAGCACAAAATATCAAGACCAAGACAGAATTTGCGCCACTTTTTCAAAATTCCAAAATGAAAATTAAATCACCAGTCTGACGTTCTAACTACTGGTTAATTCAGTCGAGTTTGCGGTTATCTACTTTTGACCCGACTTAATTCCTTTTATCCATAAAAAAAAGCAAAAATTCTTCACAGCTACAGCAAAAAAAAAGTACTTCTGATATTTGAATGGCAGTTTCACTGACTGTAGTCACATTACAACCAATTAAATAATCAATCAAATCCCTGACCTGTTGATTACTCTGAAAAAAAAATTAAATAATCATAATAAATACTGATCATCAATAACTTATTAAGTGAATCAATTTTGAAAAAATTATGAAATTTTAAACTTCACCATACAATTTGAATTTTTAAATTTTAAACGTATCATCGAATAAAATTAAATCTAAACAAATAAAGAAAATTCAGTTCGCTATTCCAGAGAAAATGAAAACGAATTCATAGGATTCATTAATATTTTTATACCTTAAGTATGCTTCAAAAAATTATCTATGTGAAATTTTTTTCAATTATCTTCCCAAGTTCACTCCATAAACTATGAAAATTATCATTCCAAGAAAATTTTTCTTTTATTTTCTAATAGAAGATTTCAAAAACTATCTACAAAATCCACAATTATTCTGTCATTAAATCTTTAAATTTTTTTTTCAACCTCTTTTAACTGAGATAATTTATTGCGTATTTCCACTGGAACGAAATCCCATAAGGAAACATTAATAAACTGAACTGAGGAAAAGCGTGAATCAAATTCTGATCGAGAACCTGTAAAACCATTAAACAACCAGTTATTAGAAGACATAGACTAAACCTTATCACCTATAATAAATGCTTCAAAACAAAATCATATTTTTTGAATAAAGTTTACCAAAACAGCTCAATAGCAATAGTCTCTGGAAATTATTTCTTTTCAGTAGTCCAATTATCCTCATTTTCCTCTTCCCTCCATTCCTATGAAACAACGCAGAGCTATATCAAACCAAGAGCGTTCCTCATCATCCAACCTTGCAGCGCCATTTTATTTTAACCTCTGAGAAAGCTTAAATTTAAACTTACGGTCCCTTAATCTCTGTTATAAGACCTTGGGAATCAATAGAACCTGCCAACAAAGTAAATGCTCCTTGGTTTATTTAATTCTAATTCGTCTTAACAATCCACTATTCTCTGCCACATTCACTGATCCAAATTGTGATATTTCCTTAAATTGTGATATTTCTTATACACTTCAGTACATGTCAGAAATCCCTTACATGCAAAACAATGTTGTGCTTTTTTATTACAACCCAACAGACTCTAAAAAATGTTCAAAAAAACGCATTATAATATAGCCCTCTGAATCTCATATTTTCTTAAATTTTTCTTAAATCTTCTCTCAAATCTCGCCCACATATTTTTTCTTTATTATTTCTCTTAACTCTTCATAAATCCAAAAAAAAAAATTAAATTTTTTTCAAATTTAAAATTTCTCTTTTTTTCTTTCATTTTCTGCTTTATGCGCAAATAATCATGACAACATAGATTCCATGCAGCATTTCAACTGTAACAGCACTTCGCGACAGATGGCATAGATTGTCCGCGGACGTTAGAATGTTCGCATTAAGCATAAACCACGATGTGCCATGGTGGAGTCTGTGGTTGGCGAAAATGGTTACGAGAATCGATTCATCAATGGACAATGTTTTTTTCGTTTTTGTCGAAGAATTTTTTACTACTTGCTGATATTCGGAGAAGACCAGTGCTCTCCGGATAAGCAAAAATATAACTAGATTAATTATTGCATTCTTTATTATATTATTGATTACAAATTAACTGACTATATCCTTACGTCATCCGTCGTTGAAAGAGTATTGTATATTAGATAGCCATTCTTACCGCAATGCTGAAACTGGTAATCTTCATAGATCATTTCGTGATTTGAGCGAAGATCCACACGAAACTCACAATTCGTAAGAAATACTATTCGTCACTAAGATCTTTTAATTACCTAAAAGATTTAGGGGCTATGAGCGCATTTTAAACTGAATCCGAAATACCTTAATTAATATCAACTACATCTCTGGAACAATTGATAAACATTGATTCTAACTAAAACTTTGTCCCGAAAGTCGGTCAACTCCATGTTTGTGTACTATTCAAAATGCGCTAGTTGGACAAAGATCCCTATGCGAAAATGCTATGTTCATGAGTTCATGACTATCGGATGCATGAACTGCAACATGGCGGTGGGACAGAAATTCGTTACTGAACTGATATGGCCCTCAATATGATAGCTTTTCCATTAAGTTATGAAAGAAAATTATTCCTCTTTTCTGATAAAACAACTAACATCATAGAGTGTCTTCGCTGGTTAGGACACGTTCTTCATCGCCTACAAGAGTTGACACACATCGTTACACTAAACTGTGATGGGTATCAAAAGCGAGGACGGCCAATGACCTGGGCTGATACAGTTAGGAAGGCAAGGATTTTTAACCTATAGTTATGGATTTAAACGATGGACCAGCAATATATGGATTTAAACGATGGAAAAAGGAATGGCTTCTATTACTTCGACGATGGTATCAGACCACGCCGCTTGGAAACATCTTACTCTTCTAGCCGGTGGAGCAAAGTTAACCAGTCCAGTAATGGTGAGAGCTGTTAGAAGAAGAAGAAGTGAGAGCACTGACCATATTATTCAAGCTAGAGATGGTGATTACTTCAAATAACGACAACCTATTATCATTGTATTATGTTTGTTGACTTTGCAGTTACTTCTGATTTTATAGCAACGTTCCAGAGGTAATTGAGTGAAATTGTGTTTTAGAGCTCATTCGACTGATAAAGGTAAGCATCAGCATGCATCGATTCAGATGCATGCATCGAATGATAGAAAATTGAATTTTCGAAATACCGTATTACTGCTTTTTTCTCCACAGTACTTAACAATGTGATAGATTCGATTATGGATATTGCTTGCCGACACTCAAGAATTGCATAAGTCAATCAAGAGCATAGTATCTCGACGGCATAGTTCTTTTTATATAATCCTTATAATCCTTTTATAGTCCTTTCTAATATTTATAAAAAAATACAAGAGGTGATAAAAAGTACATTGAGAAATTGGGTTTGGGACCAATGTATAAGATGAAAATTTTCTCGCATTACATACCAGATGCTGATGAAACATCTTTTTTAATAATCCACCACTAGCTGACGAAGTAACAAATTTTAAATATCTTGCATCCAATCTTATACCAAATGGTCAAGTGAAAAGCGAAGTTGTAGCCTGACAACCATAGCTATAAATGCCCTCTTCCACCTGGCGAAATCTAAACGAAAGTTCGACTACAGTAACATCTTGTATTATATAGTTGTGAAACATGGCTAGAGGAAAATATATAGCGAAGTACATGGCTAAAAAACTATTTATTTCAGACCAGTCTTACTTAAAACACTTTTTCAATGAGTAAAATTTCACATAACCACCACTGCTCAAATACCATCTATATTAATAACACCATCACAAGTGTTTGTTATGTTATTCAACGCCCATTACAGATATTAAAGCTCATCTCGCGATTTCCTAAGACCTGTGATGAACAGCATCAAAAGCAATCAGACAATTAATCAAGACCTGAGCCGACATAATCAGAAGAAATTTTGGATCTATAGATGATTAATGATTTCCAAGGCTACTGAGATGAGTTAGGATAGAATGGAGGTGTTAAAAGAAAATAATGGCTATTTAAAAATAATGGCGAAAACAGGAGATTCGAGGAGATATTAGGTGGAAGAATCGAGTTTCGAGGGGTTGTATCCTGGTATAAAGAAGGAATATCCCGGTTTAATTAATGGTTAGCCAGTATGCCATTGATATTAATGCAATATTAATAAATATCAATACCACCACTATTAATGCAATTAATACAATTAATTAAAATGATATTCTACAAATATTTCGAAAAATGTATGAAATACCTGAATTATCTGCAACTGTAGGTGAAAATTTGATCTGACCACTCTCATAATCGGTAACTGAACCATGCGAGCATTCAATATGCTGAACTTCATTTTTTTCACTTAGTTTTTCGTTCAAATATTTTATTTCTCTATAGCATCGCTTCGTTTCAACATGAAAAAAGAAACATCAATTTGATTTTCGAGATAATATTAAAACAAAAGATTAAAATCTGCTGAAATAAGAAAAGTAGATAGCAAGGTTTTTTGAATTAACAAAAATAAAATAAATAATTAGATGAATTTTAAATTGAATGAATTTTATTCCTCACTTGAAATAATTTGTTCATCCTTTCTAAATTTTCACATATTATCAACAAATCGTTATGTTTACGTTTTAAATCAATTAATTCATTTTCCAGCGAATTCTATAAAAGAAAATATAAAATAAATAAAATGACTAAATTTGCAAAAAAATTTCCATCGAAAATTATTGGTTATCTGAAAAGAAAAAACAGCCAATGTCAACAAAAAATAACTGACAAATTGTTCACGTTTTTCATCCAACATGCGTTGAATCTGATCAAATTCAGTCTTCATTCTATCTAATTGACTATTAGCATCATCACATTTTCTGGCTAATACTTCTACATCAACCTGAAATTATATAAATATGTTAGATAGAAAGGAAAAGCAAATTTTCAAAAATTTCAATAGTTAATTTCAATACTTTTAAGTGTTCGTTTTCTCTTAATAAAATATCGTATTCACTGGTGCTTGAAGGAAGATAGATTTTTTTTTCCTGAAATAAAACGACCATTACTCTATTCTATTGCTGCTATTATTTTTCTCTGTCTCTACCACAAAAAATTAGATCGCTTACATTATTTTTGTTTCTTAAATAAACAGCTTCATCTCGATATCTTTTGGCATTAGCACGCTCACCTTCCACCACCTTTTGTAATTCACGAACCTATATAAAACAAAAAATCAAACTGGAAAAGAAATTTGAACTTTTGATTTGATGAAAGTTGATAAACAACTTTTGATAAAGTTCTGATAAACAACATATTTTTAATAAATTATTCATTGATATTCATATTACTAATCAATTTTGGCATTTTTTTTCATATGATAATAAAAAATACTTTTGTAATAAAAAGTTAGAATCACCTTATCGCGTTCCTTGTCAAGAGCGTAGCGCTCCGCTGCTAAATCCTTAACCAAATTTTCGCATTTTTTTAGTTCCTTCAGGCGATTTTCTGCCAAAGATTCTAATTTTTTCACACTATCTTGTAAGCTGATTAATTCTTTTTGATTTTTCACAGCAGATTCTGTTTGCAAGTCTCTCTCGCGAACCACTGCCTTAATTATTATCAGTAATTCCATGGAAATCTTAACCATCTTAATAAAAAATTGAACTTGTTGAAATCAGAATTTAATAATACCAAAAAGCTTAGAAAATCTTTGAAAACAGTGAATAACGAAAACAAAATAATTATGGCCAATATTTTTAAAAAAATGATACTTCAGTTTTCATTCGCAGTTCATCAAGTTCTTTTTCCAGTTGATTTATTCGCACTACAAATTTATTTTTTTCAGCAATCATTGCCTCTTTCGAATCTTGCAGTTCCATGATTTTCAAAACCAATTTATCTTTATCTTTGCAGAATTCATTATTAGTCCCAAGAAGTATTTCCATCGATGCTTTATTTTCGTTATTTATTCTCACAAGTTCTGATATTTCATTTTTGAATGCACTGTTTTCTGCATTTAGCTGTTCGATCTTTTGATGAAGACTATTTCTCATTTCTTGAAACTCGGTATTTGCTTTCTGATGAGCTAATGATTCTGCTTTAACTTGTTTTAATTGAAAAGTAATTTTTTCACATATTTCATTTTTGTTATTCAACTCCGTTGCCATTTTTAGAAATTCCTTCTCAGTATTCTTCAATTTTTCCATTACTTCATCCTTTTCTTTAACGGCTGATGGCAAATCCTAGATAAAAATGAATGAAATAGTGGAGGAATGCATTTCCATATATTGAAAATTAATGCTAGCTATTTTTTGGAGTTGTTACTGAAGGTATTTTACTATGAGTAATTTTGAATTAATCTAAAAATTAATTTTTTATGAAAAGTGAAACAATTTTAAGAAAGTGAGAAAAGAAACAATGCGAATCAATGTCACCTTTGCCGCATTCAAATCAGAGATTTCTTGCTTCATTTCTTTATTTGCTCCATAAATATTCTCGATTTGTTGCTTTATGGCTTCATTTTCTACTGTAAGGCGTTCCACATACTGCTTTAAAGTATCATCCATTCTATCAAAATGTTCCATTTTTTGCTTTAAACTATCGTTTTCTTCACTTAGGCATTTGATTTTTTGTTTTAAAATGGTATCTGTTTTATCAATATGTTCTAGTTTCTGCTTCAAAGAACTATTTTCATAAGATAGACATTCGATTTCTTGCTTTAAAGTTTTATTTGCTGCATTGAGACATTCGATTTCCGCCTAAATTGATTTATTACCATTAGAGTGTCATAACAATCGCATTGATATTTATTCAAGTTGTTTTAATACTACCTATTAATCTATTTTCGTGTAATATGATATAATAATAGCACACTCCATGCTTGATTTTTCTTTACTGATTTATATTATACCACTTAGATATTTAGTTGAAAATTCCTTTATTTATTCTACACTATTTAATATTATGAAGAATTTCACTATTGGTTCAATGGAGTAATTTTAAATCCATCTGAATATTAATTTTTTATGAAATAGTATTAAGAAAGTGAAAAAATGCCTACATTGGTGACCTGCATTTCCACAGAAATATTATGCGAAAATTCGACTGCTTGCACGGCTTTTTCGTATTTCGATTTGTAATTTAGTACACTTTGTTTATCGGATAATTGCTAAAAATAGTCAAAAAAAATATTTATTAACCTCAAAATATTTTTTTTAAAGAGTCTCACTATTATTGGTTAAACTCGCTCCGCTAGTTTATCGCATTGGACAAATATGCATGGCGACAGATGTACGAGTGAGTCGCCAGCACCACTCGGATTTTTAGATAGGTTTTCTGCAGGGGAATATAATCTCAGCAACGTATATCGTATCTATCCCCCATATATTACGCAAGAAAGATAAAAGGAAAGTCAAACCTCAAAATATATTTCATAATGTTTAACTTTTCGCTTTAAATCATCGTTTTCTCTGTTCAGCCTTTCTATTTCAACGTTTAAGACTAAAATCTGAAAGTCCGATTCAAAAATATTGAAAAAGAAGATGAAAATACTTTTCTATGTTCAATACTTATCTTTTATCAAAAGAAAAGACATTAATTGAACGGCAAAATTTAGAATTAAAGGCACTTCGAAATATTAAAGCTAATAAAGGGATGAAATGAAATGAATTAAAATTCAGTGCCATTTTTATACTAAAAAATTACTAGCAAAAAAATGAAGAAGTTAGAAAAAACATTTGAACTTTTTACATGAAAAAAATAAACTGAAGTTACATTTGACTGTAATTCTGGCAATTCAACCAACTTTGCTTTTAGCAATTTGTTGTCTTCGATAAGTTGAATTTTTTCAAACTGCAGTTGATTTAATTTAAGAGCTAATTCTACAATAAATAAATCCGATTTTACATAGATTCAGGAATTAGTAAAGAATAAAGAATAAATATAAAAGAAATAGCTAAAAGAGTATAAGATCCCATTTACCTAATCATTTAGTCACCGTTATCAATATTAGTTTAAGATAAATGATATTTCAACAATTTCATTAATAATTCATCCAATTTATTTTAATATCCATTTACAAGCTTTTAATATCCATTAAAAATACTAAAAAAAATAAGCGACCATTTCTTTATTAAAACAACCACATTACCCAATTTTTTGAACGATTTGCTGTCTCCATATGAACTATTTCGATCACACTGATCAAATGGAACATGGATATCAGATGACGTTTTAATTGGAGAAGCATCCGGAGAGTGATGCATAACCGGTACATTCCTTGGAGTGGATGTAATCAGCTTTGAAATGGAAGTTCTGTTCGTTTCACCATTATTATCCACTTTCTGAAGAAAATCTCGGAAAATATTTCTCAATCATTCATTCGCATATGAAGAAACTTCACTAATTTTTTATATTCTTTTTAAATGAGGAATTTGGAATATGAATACGAAATCCATGCATGCAGTGAAAAATAACCAAGTTACTTTATCAAGGTTCGGCCTTCTTGGTGTATTCAATTCTGATTCGAACCCATCATCAGTATCCCCCATTATTGAATGTATATTATGCGCACAAATATTGATTTGTTGAACGGACTTTGTTAATTCGATGTGCTTAACCATAAAAATTAGCACAATGAAGGAGAAAAATATGGCTACACAAAATCTGGGGAAACAACTGGAAATTCTATCTCTCATATTATCCTTTCGTTTTAGGTATTTAAGATATTAAGTTATTCACCATTGCTTTTACTCTAATAAATTTGAATAACCACAAATGGAGAGTGTCACTAATCACTAGGTCTTCTGATTTAATTTTTTTAAAACTTTTTTTATTCATTTGAATGGGATTTTTGGCATGGATAGCTTCATGAATAGTTTCACATTAAGCCATAATTGATAAAAAAAAACAAGACAAACACGCAAAAATAAACATATCTGATCTCTCAATATGAGTTCAACTAAGTGTATAAAACGCTAAAAAAAAAAGGAAAAAAGCTTCAAAGCCTTGAATGAATACAATAGAAAAATTGAAAAATTAAATAAATGCCTTTATTGAAATTCAAGAATTCTTTTGCTCAAAATTATAAAGTAGAAATGAATATGTAAAATATAAAAAAACAAAAAATACAACTATCATAATTATCTAACAAGGTCAATAAATGACCTACTCTTTTGGCTGGCCCATCAACAAAAGATGAAAAATGGCAGTCAGAAAGAAAATGATGAAATAATAAAATTAAAAAAATTTTCAAAAAATAAATAATTGAGCAACTAAAAAATATACAATTAGAAAAATGAAACAAATGAATGAATGAAAAAAAAAGATAAGAAATCTAGAATAACAACGAATAAAATCACTATAAACGATAATTCGACCAAATCGTTACTTGTGTGGATCATTAGCAATTAGAAAGAGCAACAGCGCTTGCTTGGAGGAGGATCATCAACTATTAGAAGATTATTTCTTCGATTCACTGAACTGCCCAAATCTAACTGAGTTACACGATCCAGCATAACTAAATATATATAAAGATCAACAAGATAAGATCAAGATAAAATAAACAATTATAAATAATTATAAGAGAAGAAAAAAATTCCTGAAACTTCTTTAGCTTTTCTTTTCCAAATTTCGAAGATTTCAAACGATCGAAAAAATAATACCTTGAATAAGGTGCTCGAAAACCTGAGAAATTCCAATGTTATCTTTAGCCGACGTTTCAAAATGTTCTGCTCCAACCGATTTGGCGTAACTTAAAATCTGATTCTCAATATTGCACGCAAATCGTTGATGTAATGAAAAAAAATAAAAAGAACTTACTCGATTGCTGTTCGCAATTCCACATTTCGATTACGTTTTAAATCAGTTTTATTACCAACTATAACCAAAACAACACTGTTGCCGAGCATACGCTGCAATTCTTTGACCCAAAGCTTGACCTACATATTGTATATATATTGACGAAATAGGATTATTAAAAAGATACCTTTGTGGCCCCAACAAAACTTATCTAATTTAAATTATTTACCATTTAAATATTAAGAAATGACGACTGACCTTATTGTGGTTCTAGCTCCGAAGCTCCAAACGCAAAATTACGGTTATGTATGAAATACTCTAATGCTATTAATTTAAAGTCAAATAAAATCAAAATTTTATTCCTCTTTTCAAAGTGAATCTTCGAAATATTATATTGTTATATTACAAAATTTACATCAAAGCAAAGTCACCTTATCGAAGGATTTTGAATCAGTTATATCATATATCAATAATGCTCCTTGGCTATCACGATAATATATTGGTCCCAAAGCATGAAATTTTTCTTGTCCCGCTGTATCCCAGATATTTAGATCCAGTTGTTTCCCATTGAATATTATTTTCTTACAAAGAAATGAAGCCTATAAAATCTCCTTAAATACGATTCGTCCATTAAATAATAGTTAATAGATACACAGTAGATATAAACCAGAAATAGACTAATAAATTCCCGAAGTATTTTATTAATTAACGCACCTGAATTGTTGAAACATGCCGAGGATTAAATTTATTTTCTACGTAACGTAACATTAGTGACGACTTCCCAACTGCACCTTCACCAAGTAATACTACCTTAAATTTAATTACTTATTTGAATTATACGATTGAATGAAATTATTTTATAATTGATTCAGTTATGCAAAGCTTAACAATAAAATAAGCAATAAAATACCTTGAATTTGAGTGGCGAATTGTTAGATGTACTCGGAGTATTCTCCATCATTTTATAATTCCCAATCCTGTCTACATTTTAAATGTATTTGTAAATAAATGAAAAATATTCGACAATGAAAATAAACAGAGATCAACAGAACTGAACTTCAACAAACCAAATTTTGTTGATGTTCGTGGATGTCAATGAAAAAAATAGAAAATATGGCACCGTTCAACAGATATTCTTGAACATGATAAAATCAGAATATTTATAAAAAGATAATAAGATAAAACGAGATTGTTCATAGAAAAATAACAAAACATTATATAAAACATAACAAAATTTTCTTTAAATCTTGAAATTTTGACTTTATAAGTTGACGGAAAATTCAACAAATAAATCACAAAAATCCAAAAAAAATTCAGGATCAATTCTATTATAGATTATTTTCCATTCATCATATAACGTTACAAAAAGAAAGAACGGTTTTTCTGTACCGGAATAGATAAATACGAAGATCGAAATCGAAATTTCACTGAAAGGACTGTACTTCTGTATTTTTACAGTTGCCCACATTGAGTAATAACTATTGGTATTTTCGGCTTATTATTTTGACCCGTTGGAACATTTTCAATTTTCCGTACAGTCAATAAGCCATCAAGAACCCGACCTGAAAAAGCCATGGATATAACGGGGTTATATGGATATAATAAAATAAAAATAATGAAAATACAGTATACAGATAAATATAATGATTTAAAAATGAAATGAAACTTGATGAAATGAATGTAAACTCCTACCGAACACGACATGCTTCTTATCTAAAAAATCACATTTTGTACAAGTGATGAAAAATTGACAACCATTTGTATCAGGACCAGCATTTGCCTATAAAGATGAAGTATTTAATAAATTGGATAAATATAAATTTATATTTCTACATGCATATGTATATAATAATATAATATAATATATACATATATATATGTTTAAATTTAAAAATTTATTAGAACAGCCAACAGCGTAATATTTAACGCAGTAAGAAAAATTTAGCGAAAACACAAAAAAATCACAAAAATATCCAATTTCACAATTTCCTTTATCCATAATTTTAGATGAGCCAAATCGAGGAAATTTCATAAAAGCTTCTAGATCAAATTATCAAAATAATGAATAAGAATTAATCTTATTCTACATGACAGTTATCAATGTAATAATTAACATTGATATAGTTCGATTAACAATAATAATTAACAATATAGTTCGATTTTGAAATATTTCGCTATTCAGTACAATGTTATCAATGTTATCACTATTAATATTAATCTTTTACTAATGTTTAACTTTTATTAACCATTGATAATATTCCAGGTCCTGAATGTTCCAAATCAAAATTTTCGTCTGGAAATTTAGAGCCGTAAATACTTGTCATACCAGTCCCGTCACCCTAAAATACTCCATTGAACTGGAATTAATTTGCAAATAAATTTGAAATCCTTTAACACAATAATTATAGTTCGATTTTGAAATATTTCGCTCTTCAGTACAAAACTTTTTCTTTTTCATTTAGAAATTTGTATTTTAAATCATCTTCAGACCATTTATTTATTTGAAATGAATGCTTTAAACTTTAAACTCTTAAATATTTCCCTGAATTTTGATAGAAACTAAAGTAGAAAGGCAGAAAATAAAAAGAGATTTTATAAAATCGTATAAAAATGAATTCAAATAATGAAATATTAAAAAAAAACTTACATTAACGAAATCGCCTCCTTGAATCATAAAATCTTTAATAACTCGATGAAACTGTGCATTTTTATAACCAACAGGTACACCATCTCGCCTATATTCTCCCGTACAAAATTGCCTAGAATTAATTCAAAACTAATTAATCGAAAGCAATAAATTGTTGATTGAAATAAAATGAGTGAAATGAAAATAAAGTGGAAGTAAGATGTAAGACTAAATTAATTTTTATTAAATTAGAAATTATAATTAAAAAAATGCTTCCTCTTTTTCTAACAGTTCTCACTATTACTGGTTAGCCTGGCTCTGCTGGCAAGGGTAAGAAGTCTCCATTCTGCTCGTTCCGACGCCATCGCTAGCAGTAATAGAAGCAATTCCTTATTCCATCGTCTAAGTCCATATATAGCTGGTTTCTCTATACGTTCAAATCTTTTCTGACCGTATCAGTTCAGGTCTTGACTGGCCCTCCTCGCTTTTGACGCCAAACATCACGCCAGGGTTTAGCAAGTAACGAAATATGGGTCAACTCCTGTGGTTACAAAAATGCTGCAAACTTTGATTACTAACCTGAAGTTTTCTGCTGTTTTTGGGCAAACATCAGCAAACAATTCCATTTTTATAGTTCCAATAGGAGCGCCGCCAGCCGTAATTTCCATAAAAACGACAGGATTTTCTGGATGCCTTAACTGTTCAGCCAATCGATCATAATCACTCATTCCTCATTTAAAAAAATATGATTAAACAAAAGTCCTTCAACTTTAAATTTAATATACAACAAGGAAGAATAATAATAAGGAAGAAGCTGTGTGTTGTTACCAAATATGTTGCTAACAAATAATTATGCGCCACTACCTTTCGCTTATTTCAAAAAATTGGTGAAATCTATGGATTCTTTTAAAAGTCTGGTGAAGGCAAGATAGCCGAATAGAAAGTGATTCCGATAATCTTGCTGACCCTGACAGCAGCAAAGCTATTATCGAGAAACCGGGAAGAGCTGGCGATCCATCTATATTCCTATTGCCAAATATCTCTCCGACAAAAATTCCTAACTGTAGCAACAGGCGATGAAGCGAACAGAAGTGCTGAACACCACTTTTTTTAGTGATGAAACGACGGACTCTGACTGCACAGTGAAATTTACGGAACATTTAACATAAAAGTAAAATATGCACAACGCGTAAATAAAAAGTCCGAATATTTGAACAATAAATTAGGTAAGAAAAGAAACAATGCTAAGAGTGATGATAAGAATGATAAGAGTGATAAAAAAATTCTTCTCACGAAACACCACAGAACCACATCGCCAAGCTTAGAAGTCTCGCAAAATAAAGCAAATGAGAAATGAGAAAAAAAATTGTTATGGATTATGGACCGATTTTTCGAGAAATATTCACCACTGTTTCCATAAATTATTTATTTTTATTTCTAGCAAAAAGAAACGAGTGAAAAATCTTGAATCCAAGCAATGAATTCACGCCAAGAATTAGAATCGCAATGATTTTCTAAATAAATAACCATCTCCCCAATAAAAAAATCCAAGTTATCGTAACTGAACAATCGTCTTAAAACCTAAATTTATAAAAAATTTTGTTCGAGTGGAAAATAAATTAAAAGCTTAAGTGTGGATCTCATGATTTCCATTTGCTAAGGTTGGAAAAGTCCCATAGATAATTTTGAAATTATATCGTATCGGCCTTGAATCTCGAATAATTCTAATCTTGCTTATACGGTCAATGAGCAAATTAGAAAGATATCGTAAGAAGACGTGTGGCTGAATCAGCAATGTGAGTCTTAGCAAATTATCAGTTCATATGCGAACGGCACTTTTTTTCTTAAGCAATCTTTAAATAAATTTTTTATATACTGTGTCTTTTAAAATAATTTCTTAAAGGAGTGATTAGGGTGAAGAGGTGATAATTCGTAGAGATGAAGAAATAAATGCAGATGAAGGACGAGGATGTTCCCCAGGATCGATGAATGGTCGTCTAGAGTGTATCTAATTGCAATGTACTTGAATTATCCTATCGCTTCCGAAAATAAAAGTATTTTAATAAGTTGCATTCTCGCCAAATTCATAAAAAACCTGAAATGTTTGAGGAAAGTATGGACAAAGTCATCGAAACAAGAATTGTGATCTGAATGAAAAATTTAAACATCGTTAAAAACTCGTTTTCTATCTTATAATCGGAGACTGATGAAGTTTTATATCAATTCCCGCGATAGTTTTTTTATTGTCAAGATAGATGAAACTGGACTCACAAATGTATTTTTTCACATTTTTTAAGATTCACATTTTTTTAAACTTGCAATTTTTTCAAAGAAATATGCTATAAATTGACAAAAAATGCTTTATTGACTATGGTTATTTCAAAGAGCAAGTTCCGCTGCCAAAATCTGTAAAATAAGGTTATATGTTCTTCATGATATTATTTTATTATAATATTATATGATATTATTTTAGGATTCTGGAATAAACCAAAATTCACGACCAAAATTCTTCTTGAAAGACAACAAAATAAGTTGTGCATTTCACAATAATAGCTAACTTACATATTTCTTCAAAAATTCGCCAGATAGTAATATTGCTGGTTTAGCCGGCATTATGAAAAGATTTTTTCGTCAAAGAATCCTCATAAGCATCAAAAACGATTCCCTAGTAATGATAGGTTGACTACCACCAAGGGAAAGGAATCGAACACATATTACTTAACCTTGTGTGAAGCGAACTGGCAAATGAGCAGCCGCCTACTCATATTTCAAGAAAGTCGTAATTTCATTTTATAAAATCATAAGAAATTCTTTAATTTCAAAATAAATTGGTTCAATTTATAATTTATTGGTTCAACTTCAAGATATCAATTTTTGATAGATTTTTTAGCGAAATTTATATAATTTGATTATAATTTTGATATTATTTTAGGATTCTGGAATAAACCGTATGGTCGTACCTTTTCTTTATATAGCATACTATGAAATAGGCTTAGGCTTAGGCTTAGGCTTAGGCCTAATGCCAATACCAATCAAAATTTTAATTGACCGTAATAATGGAAATGAAATACTTCGCATTTAGATGAGAAACCATTTTAACACTATACGCTAGAAACAAAAAATGGCTCGAAAATTGTAGATTTACTTCATAATAGTCTTCATTACTTTAATCCAATTAAAGTTTACCTGCAACAAATATCTAGAAAAATAATAATGATTTACTAATTTTCCAAATTTTCTGCTCCTTTCTGGTTTTGCATTATGAAATCCCATTTTCCCTTAATTTACAATTTTTACTTACATTATTTATATATTTATATTTTTATTTATAGAATACCAATATTTTATCCTTCATTTCAACTAGCCGCATATCGCTTACAATCACAAGATTTTTCAGAATTCTTTTATCTGATCGCATTTAAAACATTATCATTAAGAACCGAATTCTTCGACACACCGTTTCGAAACTACATTTGATCGGATTAATCTTTTTCAGTACTACAATTATAAATTATATTATATTCAGTGCTACAATTAATCCTTCTCAGTGCTACAAGCACTTTGTAGGATTGAATGCTGCCAAAATTTCTCTGAAATTTCTCTTAACAACTTGGCTTGGTTAATAGAGAAAAAAGGGAGGATGCTGCTTGTTGTCAAGCGCGATTTATAATATTATTAAATATTTTTTGCTTTATGCTATTGCTTATTCATGATCGTTTTATTACTATTATGCTGCCAAATTTTCTTTAAAACCAACAGAATAAAACTACACAAAATATTTATAATGGAATTTTTCTGTGGAAAAATACATTAAATATCCTTCCAGAAATGCATTTTATTTTGTAGGCTATCAGCTTAACTATCTAAATATCAACAAGTTAAGCCTCTAAGAACTTTGCAACAACAGCAGAAGTAAGCTTATGCGGAAAATGTTAGTTAGCATTTATCTCGCTGAATTGCCTTTCATTTCGAATATTATTTCTTTATCCACTATCTTTTTAATGAAACATATTTGATTTGCGAAATTTAACCATATAGCGCTAGATCACAGTAAAAAGATTAAAAAGATTTAATAATTAATAATCAACACTTGTCAAAAGGTTGTTATCTCCGTGACCGTGCTTCTTCTCTCACCAAAATTGGTTTAGCCAGTCTTTCTTTTTTTTATTTTCGATAAATTTGGCAAAAAGTTTTCATTTAAGAAGAACATTTGTTATTGGAGGAATGTGAACATAATATTTCAGCCGAAACTTTATCGTTCTAACTGGCTTTTATTGCAATACTTCAAAGAAAAAAGAAATATTAAAATTTAAATCTATATTAATTGTTTTATTTTTCTTTTTTTATCAAAATTTCATTAGTAAAACTTTCTTATGCACAATCACCAATCTAAAATTCGCGATATTTGAAGGGTTGGTGCGAGTGATCTGGTACTCTCCATTGAATATCAATTTCAATTAACTATAATATTAATGATACAATTACCAAAAAGGATTTAAACGTTAAAAATCAAGAAAAATCTTCATACAATGAACTATTCAAATCCTTTTGAACTTTCTTGATAAGCCTTTCCTTATAAGATTATCGTCTGATTTCATTCCAGTATTCAAACGAGTTATCAAATAAATCGTACTTTATTTGATTTTTCTTTTAATCGCCTTAGTCGTAAAATGTTGAGAAATGTTGATTACATGGTTTAAAAAATATCGGGTGTGTTATCGAGAATCGATTTTTTCTATTATGTGGATTAGAAGAAGTCGTTAACTGATTGGACAGAATTATCTGAACTCTTCTATTTAGTCCTACTATTTTATTGCCTTTGAAAATAAAATTCTATGGTTGATGCGAATTTTTCCAGAACATGGTGTTAATCAGTCAGCCCTATTCCAATCAGTCATTTCTAATGGAAGAAAAGAAAAAAATTGCCGTGTGATAAAAATTCTTATTATCATAATTTTTAAAGAAATTTTGCAGCATCAATCAGCGATTTTCTTTAATATTTTCAGTGCTCATTTTATTTATGCAAAAAAAGACTCAATGAAAATTACTCGAAGCCTTAGTAGTAAGACAGCGGCAGCCAGCAATGACAATTTTTAATGATTTTGACGATTGTTGCAAAGGAATTCAAAAACGAGTTTTTCGACGATTAATTCTTTATAGATAGATTGCTCTGCAATGGATTTCGTTGTCTTTTCTATATTAGTGATGGTGGTATCGTCGAATTTTGCGTTTGACATTATTCGCCAACATATCACAAATTATTTAGAGATTTATTAAGAAAATACTGGTTCCATACGATTTCTCCATGCAAATATCATTTATTTGACACTAAAATTTTGAAAATGTTTTTCAGAAATTTCAAGCAATTTCTTTAGTTTAGAAATTTTGTTTGAATTTTCTTGGGTATTTTTTGTGTCCGCAAGTATTCTCATTTCGGTTGTTTTGATTTTGGTGTTTTATCTGCAGCTTTTTTAAACTCATAAATATCGCTTTTCCCACGCTTTTTCAACCAGTAATTTTATAAAAGAAAAAGCTATTTAGCTATTGATGAGAAATTAAAATCCATATAATTGCCGTGATAAATTAAGGACTTTCAGTGCCATTGATTGAGATTAAGTATCATAGACTTAATTCTTTACAGATGCTAGACCTATTTCCATATATTTCTGTCCCCAAATAGTTCCTTGGCTGGTCCATATTCTATAATAAGTATATCACCGGAAACAACCAGAAATGGTGTTATTGGAAGAAAATAAATAGAAGTGCAATATTTACTATTTTTATATTTTTTTAAAAAATTTAATGGTATCAAACATTGTTCCAATTTCTAAATGGCTGAATTAAGTGTTTTACTATGCCATCTAATTTTTCACTTTCAAAAGAACACAATTCGCTCGCAAAGCTATAATTTTACTATATTGCTTTTGCTTTCATTAATTCACTAACGACATTTTTAATAAATCGATGAAGGATCCAATCTGAAGAATTTTTGCACAAAGAAATTTATCCAGTCATTATTTATTTCGTTATTTAATAATTTTCTAGCACTTTTTTCAAATTCATTTCACGCCAATAATTTTTTTCTTTTCATTCGATCATTTTGTTCGTGATTTTTACAGTAACCTATAATCTAATAAGAAAACCACAGAAAGAAAATGGTCGAGTGGTTGCTGGTCAGATTCATCATTATCTAGAATCAAGACTTGGGCCCACGAGCAAAATTTACTATTAAAATATCAGGGTGATACTGGAGATGCGTCTGCATTTTTACTCCTTATTAACTGACTTACCTGCAATAAATCTCACTGCCATCGGCTTCAACGATTTCTTATATAAAGTGAGGTTTTTGACAAATAGTTCGCTTATCACTTATATTCATAATTTATAATTAATTTGCCAATGCACTTCGATATACTTTCCTATTCAATGAGAGAGAGGTTAAATATATGTATAAAAACATATTTATATATAATATATAAAAAAAAACTCAAAAAATGCTTAGTATTAAATTTATTATCTTATCAAATTATCGAAACAAATGGTAGTAAGGATAGTAAGGATATGAGATCGAGCGAGTTTTTTCCTGGAATATCTTCGTTACATTTTTTATATTCTAATATTTTCAATAAGTTTGTCATCTTTTGAAAATTTTTACAAATTGAGTTTTATTCATATCTTAAATTGCGAATTATCGATAGAAATTTATATAAATAACATAGTTATAACGTAATCACCGTTTTAGATGAACTGTTTATGAGAAATTCCCATTTTATAAACCATTGTTTAGGCGGTCTATTTACGTAAAAGATGCGTTTAAATGACCCAAAATACAAGTTCTTTTCGCACTATTCGCCCATATCGTATTTAATGCTTATATTATATAATTTTTATTTTTAACAATTAGTCTCTCCATAATTACGATTCTCGTTTTGTAAAATTATCATTCCTATAACTTCTATTCCTCGTTAAAACAGTTTATCGCACGACTAATCGTCTGAATTGAAGTTTAAGTACATGCAGAACGAAATAAATCAAATAAATAAAACGAAATAAATAAATCTTTATTTTATTTGAATAATTGCCATTTAGCTTATGCCAACAAAACCTTTATTAATAAATAAATTAATTAGTCGAATTAACTATCTATATTAATATATTTATTTATTTTATATACATTTTATATTTATTTCAAACGAGTGTCCTCGATAGTTTATGATATGATTAGGTAAATGGGAAGTGGATAAAGCAATAGACAAGCTTTGGAAAGGATAGAATGACTTAGTGGGTTGTTGTTCAATTCCAAGTGCCAATGTTGAGGTTCTATTTCCCGCAGGAGTAAACCTGTCCAAAAACCGGAGTGATGCTGACGACTCACTTGTACTTCTACCGCCAAGGGAATCCCTGTATGTTTGTCCAGTGCGACAAGCCGAGCGATGGCTTTAACCGGTAATGGTGAGGACTCTTTAAAAAAAATTCCAGCTTACCACATGATAGATATAAAAAGCGACTAGTAACCACCATTTCTGATTACGTTTGCTTCAGTGATTAAATATGATTTTTGATAAAAATATGATAAAAGTTTTTGTGGTATCCAGTATCGTATGGTAGATATGGATATAAATATCTAGGTGGATATGAAATATGCAGTCAAATTCAAAATTGATTGATATTTATGCTATAATAGGATATGTTTTGTATAATCATACTAATTACTTCATTTTTTTGTATTTATATTTCCGAATAGGGGAACAATTTAAATATAAATGCGAAACATCGAAACAGAAATTTTTTTCTATCAAATGATTCTGTTGTTTTTGAGGCAAATCGTATTGCACCAAAAAGATTCACCACAAAAGCTTCAGTTTTCAAGTTCATCAACTGCGACATTAAACAATTCTTTCGATTAAATTTTTCATCATATTGCAATTTCTGAAGGAAAGCAGAAAAAACATTCCAGAAGTAAACTTTCAATTTTTTACCTTTTTTTTTGGAATAATAATCAAATTTTGGTTTCCTGCATATTTCCTTTTGCTTTCCTGCATATTTTCTTTTTCAAGGCGAAGACGATTTGACTTATGAACGATTTGCGAACAAACTACCGTTTATAGACTCCTAAACAACTAAATAATCAGCTCAGCCCAAATGTGGCGGCGATGATGAATTTAACGGCCCTTATAGAATCCAGAACAAGATATATTTTTTATTCAACCGGGCTTCTCATCGCTCGCCACCCAAAATTATTTATTTTCCTTACGTGAGTTCAATTTTTAATTTTTTAACAAGTTCTGCAACAATAGCATTTCGTAAATGAATGCATCAAGTAGAAAATAAAATTTGATTGAAATTGGCAAAATAAAAATTTGTGTATTTTATTAGGAATAAAATGTCATTTACAAGCATTGCATTAGAAATAAAGTTTCGCGTGGACAAATTGATCCCACTATAGAAATATGATTGGAAAGATTGCCTTTTGTATTTCCTGTGGTCTAATTTATCAGAAATCAACGAAATTTTCCGAGAAATCTTTAATGCGTCTTCGTGTAGTGTTTTGCATATCTTTTTTGATATAATACCTTTTTAAAAAGAAGAATGTTATAGATAAATGAACAAAACTTGATAAAATTTCTTCTCTTTATAATATTAGTGAGTTTTAGAAAAAATTCACGATATCGAAATATTTTTACTATGCAGTATGAAATAATTGTATGAAATAATAAAAATTTTTGGAAGAAATAGCAGGTCAAAAATCTATCGGAAATTTGCCATAAATTCTTATTGACACATTTTTTAGCTCAAACACAATCATTAATATATGTGGTGTGAGTGAGTGTCCTAGTGGTCCTTTTTATATTTCTCAAAAATTGTTTTCGTCCTTAATTTTTGATTTTTGAAATGATGATAAATGCTGGGAGAACCTAAATGTATATGCAATTTATGCTACGCCATTTTCGAATTGTTCTACGGCCTAAAGCTTAAAATTTGCGATTGTTTTTTTTCGGTAATAGTGTAACCATAGTAATTATAGTGAGTATGTAATAACTGGTAAACTGCTTGAATGGATTTTCTGCATTTCATATTCACCTCTTGAATGAAAATCAGGATCAGATATAAATACAGATATGAATATAAATGTTTTCCATTTCAAATAGGAATCTGCTAGATGATTTTTAGAAGTGCCTACCGGATCCTATCGGACAATCATGCAATATGATAGATATTGGATGATAAAAATAAGGAAAAACTCGCATCTGGAAAAACACCTATTTCTGATCAAAACTTCTTTAAGAGCACTTCTCATCTTAATTTTTGCAAAAAAGTCTTCGATTTTCTTCTTTTCTTTTCAAATTATCTAATTTTCCAAAAAAATAATTATTTTAAAAAAGAGGTATTAAGAGGTATTATAATATTCAAATATTAATATTATATATTAAAGGATGAAAATCGCGGTCGCTAAGTTAACCTATAGAATTGATGTACGATCAATACGATCAATGAGGTTTATGAAATTAGAAAGGCTAAGAAATCTAATTTCATGATTTGCTTCATTACACATTATAGCGAGTTGTCGACCGGAAAATTGGAAATATGTAGTTTTTATTGAAGTTGAAATTTTAGTTATTCTCCTTTTGGCTGTGAAATCTCTTTAAACACAAAATTTCGATTTTCATAAAGCCTATTTGGAATGAAATCAATGCAAATCAATGACCTGATGCTAATGTTAATGCTATTGTAAAAATAAAAATTATTGATCAACTTTCTATATCCTATTAAATATTTTAAATTTTCATTTTATAATAATTTTCAGAGTCGCTATTACGATAGTACTTTCTACGGGAGCCATTAATTTTCGCGAAGTCAACAATGTTCGTGAAGATTTCAGTGCGATCAATGCACCATCACGCTATGAATATGCCGTAACACAGGACTTTTTCAAAAATTTTGGCAGTCCATTTCACCTTGTTGTCGTATTTGAAGCAATGGATGGAGGATCTCTTTTACGACCTGGGTTTGCCTCTCTTGTTATTATTTATTTCTGGAGATATTTTAAGACTGTCAAAAAGGCAATATTGGCAATATTGTAAATAATTTACGACCTTTCCTTAGAAAATTTTAAAAAGCTATTGAATAGAAAATTTTCACTTCGGTTTGCAAATGGATAAATATTTAACTTGTTAAATTCATTCTACCTTTCGCAAAAAAATCCAATGAATAATGCAGGCCAGCAATGCCATAATTAAATTTTCATTGTTTTATTTGTAGCATTAATGGCAAAAACTGGTTTACTGGTATTGCTTTTAATAGTTTTTTACAGCTATTTGGAAAAAGCAATCGAAATTGAGGAATACTTGCAGACAAAATTAAATATTTCTCAAGAAGGCCAAACTTATTCCTATTCGGATTTTTGCCAGCCATATTGCGAGACAAGTGACGTTGTAAATATATTCTTGAATATGTATAGGGCTGTAGAAATAAGGTTGGTATTTTTTAGCGAATAAAACAATTTTATTTAAAGATCATATTGTTTTCTGTGAAAAACTGTAAAATAAAACGCTTAAAAGAAAGTGCTATTTAATGAAACATGGATAAGTCCATGAAAGTAAGCCAACTTCATAGCAGAAATGGTGAACGCCAACCACTTATTTTATTCAAATTAACTTCATTCGGCTAAAATTTATTAAGCTTTTCCAGAAAAAAGACAAAGGTCAAATTAACTTACCCGACAATGGATTTATTTGGTCATCGAATTTATCTGGCAAATAATATATTCAAAGTTGATTTATATGAACGGTGTTTTTTAAATGTTTTTTAATTGCATTTTTTCAATATGATGACCAATGCTATTTTTTTTAAAATTATTGGTTGCAAAATGAAAGAAAAATATCAAAAAAATTCGGTTTAAAAATTTTCTATATTCATTTATAAGGCTAATTGGAATTTATTACTAAATGACTAAATGACTAAAATATTTCTTTTCAGGTCACAACTGATTAAAGGATGTGGAATAATTGCAATAAATTTTCATGCAATTATATCTAATGATTCTCAGGCAGAAATTATCAACAAATGGGAACATGAAGTGTTAAAATTCGCGAGTTCAACCAAAAATAACAATTTGATAAGAGTTTATGCGACATCAGAAGCTTTAGTTAGTGAAGAAATCCGCAAAACCGGTATTTTTTTTTAAATTCTTTCAATTTTCGATAACTTCCATCTTTAAATTCAAAGTTTTTCAAATTGTACCAATTGAATCTTATATTTATAATATATGTTAGGAAAATTATATATAATGTATATATATAATTTATATATAATTATAATTTTATATATAATATATATATATAATTCATATTATATTTTTGTTTTCATTTTTTTCTTTTTAAAAACTGAATTATCCAGTTCAAGGAATTCTTGAATATACAATTGAGTAGGGGATTTTTGCATATTCTTGCAAATATCTTAAACTATTCTCTAGTGAATATTTGTAGGTATTCAAGCTATTCCTCTCATATCAATTTCACTGATTGCTGTTTTAATCTTCACTATTTTAACATCACTTAAATGCGATCCAATAACCAGTAAACCATTCGAAGCACTGCTCGGTGTATTTTGTCCATTAATTTCTATGTTTGCTTCATTTGGAGCATTATTTTGGGTATAATTCTTTTTTAAATACAATTTAAATATAACAATTTAATTTTAATAGTTTCGATAGAGAAATTTTTAATGTACCATATATAAGTGGCAAACATTTTGCGATAAAATCTTTTATTGAACACTGTCACTGTCTTTACACTGTCTCCTTCATGCGAGAAAATTGGTATCTTTTCAGCTTGACTATCCATTTTTGCCAATAGTTTGTGTTGTGCCATTTCTTATTCTGGCTATCGGTGTTGATGATGTCTTCATTTTTCTTCATTGTTATCATCGATCAAATCGTAAACTTTGCGTTGAGGAGCGAATTGCGAATATGTTGGCTGAAGCTGGCCCATCAATAACAATAACATCACTTACGAATTTCCTCTCATTCTCAATTAGTGCTTTGACTCCAACTCCTGCTATTAAGGCTTCGTTTCTCTTTTTATAACATTTAACATTCAGTTCTCTTAAAAATTTCAATTCTACTGTGTATTTTTAATTATGTATGTATTTTTAATTCATTTCAGTGGTTCAATTTTCAGATATTCAGCATTTTCATAAGTGTTGCAGTTGTTTTTGACTATATTTATCAAATATTTTTTTATTCTGCTGTGTTAACGCTTGGAGGAAGACGCGAGGAGAAAAAACTTAATGCTTGGATACTTTGCTCAAATATTCCTATTAAGCGAGAGGTTCCTTTCTGTTTTTTTACCATTATATTTAAATTTACATTATATTTCTTCGAATAGTTTGATCTACAATTAAACTCCATTGCTTCAATTTGGCCGTACCACTGTTGCCTTTGCTATAATAATGCTAAAATTAATGGTTTATATTCAAAAAAAGATACGGCGACAATTCACACTATTCACACTCATAAATACCATTAGCCGTTTTATCATCTTATCGCCCTAATTCATATCTAAAAATTGTAAACCACACAACGTACTTTTTTCGCTTTCCCGCTATCTATTAAATGAATCTCCTTTGCCAAAGAGTTACCTGACGGTAGAAGTGTACTTCAGTCCTCATCACTCTTTTAATGGTAATGGTCAAGGCATTTCCTGGGATCTAGGAAATGGAATGACTACTCTACCGACAATATTTCTTCTTCTTTCTAGTCGCCTAAAATATCTGGAAAAACTGAAAGCCATAAAATCAGAGATAAATACCAGTAACAATATTATTTTATAATATCTTTTCTACTATCAGGTCTCTAATTTTTTTTCTGAATCATTGTCCGGCTTTCAAGCCATAAAATTATATATATTTAGATAATATCAATAATTAAGATTTTATTAATAATTAATAATTAAGGTGTTCTATGGTAAAAAAGTTCGAATATGGCTGAGTAAAACGATGCGAGATTTTGTCCATACATGGGTGAATTTTTCTATGAGCGTGGCTGCTAGGATCATTATAAGTATTATACTTGTTATTTACTGGATAATATCTGCATATGGTTTATTTCAAATCAAGGTTTTACTTTTGCTTTTTGCTTATTTAAAAGATAGCACGCAAAGAAATGATCTATATCCTAATTAAAAAGAATGAAGCTGGCTTATAGTGAAAGAGTTTGTTTGCTTTTCGTCTCTTAGATTGCACAAGTGCCGCATAGGCTTACGTGGTTTTAACAAAAAACAAGAACATATACTGATATATATATTTTTTTAAGAGTCCTCACCATTACTGGTTAAACTCGCTCCACTGGCTTGTCGCAATTGAGCAATATGCCAGGGAGTCCCTTGGCGATAGAAATACAGGTAAGTCGCCAGCACCACCCGGATTTTTGTACAGGTTTATCAAACTTTAGGAATCGATCCTGCGGGGAATCGAACCTTAGCATCGGCGCTTCCAATTGAGCAACAACTCACTGAGCCATTCTATCCCCAACGTATATATAATCTAATATAATATAATACTGATATATATAATACTGATATATAATATCCTCTATATAGAGAAAAATTTTTGAAGGTTGGATTATCGTCCGAAAAATTATTCATGGATGATTCAGAAATCTTGCCGTTTGTAAAAATCCAGAGTACCATAATATTCAAAGAAGGTGGACAAGTAAGGAAATATTTTTATAAAAAGCATTTTTTTGTAGTTTTAATTTTTATATATATAAATAATTTTATATATTTTTGTATATCATTTATAATTTTTATAGCATTTAATTTGCAACATTTTCAATCAAATTTTCGATTCCTTATACTGTAAAATTCCAATGAATATTTAATACATATGCCAAGATAAAAAATGAATCAAGCATCATTTCTTATGATTTGTAAGCCACTCATTTGGCAAGTCATAGTAAAAGTCACAATCGAAAAAATAACGTAATAACTTTTATTATTTTGCTGTATTTCAAGGAATGATATAGCAAACCTATAAATCTTCAAGCTTAATGGTTTTAGGTCCTCGTGTTCGTTAATAAACCAGGCGACCTCACAGAAAAAGAGGCTGTGCCAAAAATTATGCAGTTGCTTAATAGGTTTGAGAAGGCTTCAGGCAGCGTTGGACCAATTAGCACTCACATGTGGCTTTTTTCATATTTACCATACACTGGGATTCAGGTGCTAATATTAATAAATTTACAAATAATGAATATGTTTATTTCATGTTTAATCAAGCTGAATAAAGAAATTATAGAAATTATATAGAAAACAGTAGTACGAATTTATTTCTTCAGTTCATCATTAACATTTTTTTTTGTTGTTATCAAACAGTTTAAGGCTTTGAGACTTTTAAGTACTTACTGTATCCAGTTAGGCCCGCTCCATTGGTTTGTCAAACCAGAAAATTTTATCAGAGATGAATCACCTGTATCATCTGGACATTTAAAAGATAGGTTTACAATTGCCTTAACAGTTGTGTTCTGAAATGGAGCAACAAGTCATTGTGATCCTATTCTAATATTATTAGAAGTAATTATTTCTTGGAATTCTCACTTCCATCTTATCAAAACATTAACATCTTATCAAAACGATGACAAAAAAATCTTTAATAAATTTTTTAGAACAAAGGCAGTATCGAATTCAAGTATAAATATCTTCCGGAATTTCTATCCTTTAGAGAGTATCACCGATGGAATTATTTCTTAAGCCTAGGCTCAACGGAGTAGGTTGCTATCACTAATTCAACTATAATAATTGAGCATTTTTCAAGAAATACAGCAAATAATTATCATCTAATTTCCAAAAATAATAATAATGAAAATTCCTCGTAACGTTTCAGAGATTGCTTGCAAGAAAAACCGTCATGTGTCCAAAAATTTTTTTTTACTACGGGTTTCAAAGGCGCTGTGGCTTGGTCAGATAGGCTGAAGCTTTTAATAGAATGGCGGGCAATCGCTTCTGAATATAAACATCTGAATGTAACAGTATATGAGCCATTCAGCATGTATGCTGATCAGGTATGTACCTTTCATTTAAAGTGCGTAAAAATCAGGAACTTTGATCGTTCTTTGCGGACTCGCCTATTTTTATCATAAAAATATTTTGATTTGATATAATTCTGATCTTATTAAACTAATCATAATAGAAGGAAAAAATATTGAAATTTTAAAGCCTTATTGAGAATTCATTTAATATCCTAATGAACCACAGTTTCGATTTGGATTAATAACTTTTTAGTTGCTTACAATTGTTCCTGTCACAAAATCTACTGTCACTTTTGCATTTATTTGCATGGCGATTGTTCTTACAATATTCACTCCTTGTATAACGACAATTATCACCTCAACTTTATCAATATTATCGATAAATCTCGGCGTAATAGGCTCATTGACATATTGGAATGTTGATCTTGACCCGATTTCAATGGCCACTACATTAATGTCAATTGGATTCTCAGTGGATTTCATCGCTCATATAACATTCCACTATTATAAGGGAGAGCAACCTGTTAATTTTCATTATAATTCATATTATTGCTTTAAATCTTTTTTATTAAATATCATTATTCGTTATGAGAAACTGTCACTTTATTCGCATATATTTTACAGTCTTTTAATACCATTAATGATGCAAAATAAATGGCTATTTCAGGACAAAAAAGAAAGGCTTAGGCACGCTTTCAATTCGATAGCATGGCCAATGATGCAAGCTGGTGTATCAACGATACTTAGCTTGTGCGTCTTGGCAATTATTCAAGCATATATGGTGAAAGTTTTTGTAAAAGTTGTTGTACTTGTTGTGATGCTTGGTCTATTTCACGGTCTTATTGTTTTACCTATTGTATTTGGTGCTTTACCTATCAATAAAAAAAACTCACTTCTTTCTTCATCTAATTCTCAAAAGGTTTTCATTTCATCTCCATTTTTATGCGTTTTATTCATAAGTAGATGGCAGAAGAATGATAAAAATGTGAATATAAAATTTTAGGTTCATGTTATACGGGTTGATATGCAAATACCACTGAAGATGGATTTAAAAGTTACGGGTCGGCGCACAAACGTTCGCGAAGAAAAAACTGGATAAGAACCAGAACCAGATAATCATGGTGATATCTTAATTTCTGTTAATTTTATATTTTATATCGTAATAAATGTATGTGTTGAATTTTTTTACATCAGAAATTCGAATGTTTAATTTAATAAGATTAATTTTATAAGATTATCGTAATAAGATAATTTAATAAAATTAATTTAATAAGGTTATCGTATATGGTAAACCAAAATTTTTATATAACTGATACAGGCAACCTAGTGATCTACAATCAGCAATCTAGTGATCCAGCGTTCTTATGAATGATGCATCCATATATCTATGCTTATTTGTTTCTTCAAATAGCGCTCACCATCTGTAATTAGGCTCGCTCCGCTGGGTTGTCTGATCAAACAAATTTTACTAGGGATTTAGCGACAGAAATACCAGCCAGTTGTCACCAACCACTTATATCCATATATCTTCACTGTGTTAAGTGCTTAGTATTAATAATTACTCATAATGTGGTGAACAATATTCAGGTTTTTCTATAATTAAATTAGAACAACCTGGCAGTTTGCAAGCGATGATAAATGAAACTATATGAATGGACCTATATCACCAGAAATTTAAAAAAGCTTTTTGAACTGCATTAACTTAAAAAACAACAGTTTTAAAGATACAAGATTTCTTTTCTTGATTGAACGTGTAAACAGTTTGAATCATTTTTTTTCATGAATTTCTCCAAAAATTTATTTAGTCAAGTAAAATTTCTTCTATTTCATAAGAAAACTATTTTATTTTATTTACTTCATGATTTTCAAATGATTAAAAAATTGAAGCACTAATTTCACTGATTAATAAATTTGCGAATTTTCTAAAAACTTTCCACTTAGTTTTAATCTTTGTTATATATTTAAATTATGGATAATCATAGATAATAAATAAAAAACAAATGATCAAAATAATGTCACCGCTTGATGAATGGCGGTTGTGCAGTACTAGCAATTGCTTTCCTTGGTAGCGATGCATCGGATGAATAAATGTTACAGTGTGGACACATCCATGTTATTGATGAGCATGCGCTTATCTGCTTGCATCTGGAATATGAATACCGTTAAACTATAAAACAAAAGTCTATTTAATATATTATGGTGCTTAAACATTTTTTCTAATAGCTGGTTGATAAGCGCACGAAAATGGACCTAATAAACCAAATTTTCTTCAGAAATAAGAATTAGCAAATGACTACAGAAAAAATCGAATATCTTATATTAGAAAATTTGAACAAAATAAAATGTTTGCAAAAAATGAACCAATATTAATTTCTAATAATTTCAGTTTCGCATCAAAAATTGATTCATCGAATAGTTCCGAGATTACAATATATTATATTTATATATTATAATATTTATATATTATAATATATTATATTTATATTATATTATATTATATTATATTATATTATATTATATTATATTATATTATATTATATTATATTATATTATATTATATTATATTATATTATATTATATTATATTATATTATATTATATTATATTATATTATATTTTTATATTTCGAATTATGAAAAAAATATTTTCACCTTTGACAAGAATGAGGTTTTTGCCCTGGATTTCGTAAAAGTACTGTTAAACGATCCATCATTGCTGCACGTGCACGAATTGAAAGACAATCATCTAAAAATTTTTTTAAAATTATAGTTTAGAATTTTATCTAAATTTTATCTACCTTTGATAAGTTTCTAACAATCCTGGAATTACTCATGATTACTATATTCTCTATGAGCGAAAAGAGGATTATTTAAAAGAGCGATATCAAGCAGTACAATAGTTCTGCATCTAGTCCCAGCAAAATCTGAAGTATCTCAGGGTAGATAATTATGTTATTTCTTGCTGTCCTGCTAATTATGCTGTTTTTGATATATTAAAGTATTTTTTAATGATGCAAAAAATATCAAATTCAAGCATTTATTTTTTGTGGCAATGATTGTACCAGCAAGGATGATGTGAATAATTTGTCTTACAGTATGATTTAAATAGAACATCAGAGTGGTTTTAAGATAATTCTAACGATTATACATTAATTCAAAAATTTCCATGATTTTCAATTTGCATTATTCTTCTAACAAGCAGGTGGGTACCACATTAAAACACTATTTATTTTATTTGACCCATAACATAGTTTTCTCAGAGTGAAAGGATAAAATTAGTCGAAAACATGCAGAAATACTTTTTATAAAAGTTATTTCCAGATTAAAATTTCTCTATTAATACTCAAAACTTAAGTTATCCAATTTAGATTCATTGCATATTAGAATTAAACATCTAATCTTTATATTATTTGGATTACAAGCAAATTTTGTAAAATCGCTTCGGATTACAATATTAGCAAATCTAACGAAGCCTAGATCTCAAAAAAATTTTTGTTTGTACCATTAATCATCGGAATAAATAAACAAACAAACAAAACTATAAAACTATAAACAAACAAATAAACAAATAAATAAATAAATAAATAAATAAATAAAAAAATAAATAAATAAAACAATAAATAAATAAATAAAAAAATAAATAAACTAAATAAATAAATAAATAAACTAAATAAATAAATAAATAAATAAACAATAAATAAATAAACAAATAAACAAACTAAATAATAAATAAATAAACTATAAATGTGCTGCACATTCAGTTCAGTAGAAGAGGACTAAATAATTCCTCTAAATGTCAATATTTAACGGTATTTTATGATACACTTATTTATTATTATTACTATTTTATTATTATTTTATTATTTTATTAATTATTATCATTGTACATTATGTACTCATTTAGACCTTTTCATCTTCTTATTTTTACCTTATTTTACCTTTTTATCATCTTTTTATATTTATTGCTTTGATATCAGCATATGGCTTTAGATCTTGCTTAGTTTCTTTGAAATAAAAAAAATTAAGTGGAATGAAAAGACCAGTTTCGGAAAATACTGCAGGTAAAAAAATATTGGAAAATAGCGATCCATAAATATCAGAAATTTCTAAAATAGTTTCAAGAAAGATGAATTAATCAAATAAGAACTACAGCAAGATATGATTTACATGTTTGTTGTTGTGACATTTCCATCAAATGTTCGGGTCGATTGATCATTTGAAGACAAGGAACAAGAAGTTCATGCAAGAAACATCGGTCAAGAAGTGAAAGCCGCACAAAAACAGATAACTAAAAAGATAACAGATAAATTCATTTACATGTTTTACGTGTGATATGTTTGCCAGCATAATTTGGTCTAACCAGTATAACGATTTCAGAGGAATAATGACCTGGGTATGAGGAGCAAGAAGTAAAGCGGCACATTTATTTAGCAAACCCGGTGATTCCATCTTACAAGCAGCCATCAGAACTGGACCAATATTGGCTTCTACAAATATACGACTTTGTTAGAAATTGTGTTTCATAATTTCTATAGTTTGATTAACCAACTAAATTAACACTGAAAAGAAGAAAATAAAAATGATTCGAGTATGAATACCAATTGCTATGACAACCTGTTATCCTAAGTTGTGGTGGATAAATAGCCATAAGGAATGCTTTAAGTTCCTCATGTGTGCAACAACAGAACAGTTCATCAGTGCAATTCGTTGCACTTACCCGTTCCTAAAACATTTTAAGAGTAGTGTTCTGGAAGAATCCAAATTATACTTAGAGAAAAGTCAAAGAAATATTTAACGCCTTTTAATTCGTAATTCATAGTTTAGTAAAATGGTTAATTTAGCAGATTTACTTAATTTATATGGAAAAAACAGATAGAATTGCTACAATGTAACAATGTAAAATTCTTAAATAAATTATAATTATAGGGATTTTTCATAAATATTTTATTTCATCATATTTTATTAATAATTATTAACAAAAATTTAATATAAAAAACTCGAAAGTAATATTTAAATAATGTAAAATTATGTGAAAAATAATGTAAAATAATGTAGAAAGTAAAATTTAAATAACGCAAAATAATGATGGGGACCGTAAAAATAATAATTTAGTAATAAAATAATGATGGACGTGAAATCTTTTTCTTCTAACAGCTCTCACCATTACTGGTTAGGCTGGCTCTGCTGGCTACGAGGGTAAGACATCTCCAAGCTGATTGGTCCCACGCCATCGCTTGTAATAATAGAGGCCATTCCTTTTTTATCGACTGTATATGCAATTTTATCCGCTTAATGGATCCGCAAAATGTATCTTAGATATCTTAGTGAGTGGTCAGTGGCTGTTAGCTTCTTAATATTTTCCACTCTCATTGGCCATGTTTCGAAGATCGAACGAATTACTGGTGATTTCGCGACTGTTTTCTCATTCGTCAACCGAAAAAACACATTCATAGCTGTCGTTGTACGGGTTAAAATTTCATCTTCTGCCTGGCCATTTGGGACTAGAATCAATGAATAATATTTAAAGTCGAGCAATGAGTCGATAAAAACGATGGTGTTTTATAATCTTCTTACATATAAGAAGAAAACACTTTCGTTTTATTTGCCATGATTCTCGCTGCAATTGTTGATATATTGTTTAGCATTTTTTGCATTTCATTATAATTATCAGGGAAATAAAAAGGATTGCATCATTTCATATTTCGAAAGGATCAGTCAATTCCCCATATGCACAAAAGGTGCCACAGAAGGTAAAGTACCTCATGAATGCTCATAAAATACCTTTATGAACCAAATGATCTCTGGGACACCATCACATTCCATCAGAGCGTTGCCCTATCAGTCGAATCGAAGGCAGCTGCAAAATCGATAAAGCAAGTGGCGGTGGGTTTCTGATATTTGAAGCGATGTTCCAACATTCTTCTTAAGCGTAAATATCTAGTCAGCCGCGTACCGGTCTGAATCCAGCTTGATTAGGACGCATTCTGCTATTCTCGTGTTACCATGAGTTTATTTAACAGAATGGAGGCAAAAATTTTTGTCTAGTATAGATTGATTCTTCGATAAATATCGCAATATATCCTGTCATTTAACCCTTCTTAGGAATTGGGAGTAGGATTGCATTGTTCCAGTCATCTGGTACTATTTCTTTTTTACGTACCAAAGAGTAAGACGCGATATGAAGGACGATGGACAATATCTCAAATTCTCAACAATATCTTAATCGGCACTTTACCGGGAATTCTATTGGCCTTTATTAAACTACAGAAATTATTTCCTCTTCTATTGGCGATTCACAGTTGCAAACATATGGCTCAAGCTATATTTGGGACAATGGCGCATCGTGGTTAAGCTTGGCCTCAATAAATTCTTTCCATCTTATGAGGCGATCATTAATATTACCTTTAATCTTCTTCTTCTAACAGCTCGCACCATTACTGGTTAGGCTGGCTCCAACGGCTACAAGGGTAAGACGCTTCCAAGCGGCGCGGTCTGATGCCATCGTCGACAGTAATGGAAGCCATTCCTTTTTCCATCGCCTAAGTCCATATATTGCTGGTCCATCTATACGTTCAAAATCTTTTCTCACCGTATCAGTCCAAGTTTTGATTGGCTCACCTCGCTTTTGAAGCCAACTGTCACACGGTTTAGCAAATAACGAAATATGCGTCAACTCGTGTGGTGGACGACGGAGAATGTGCCCTAACCAGTGAAGGCGGCGCTCTGTGATAACATTATTTATGCAAATGGTATTTGAACGAAGATGGATGTGATCTTGTGAGATTTTATCCATTCGGCGAACCCGTAAAAAAATACCTTAGACAAGAGTGGTCAAAGGCATAGGCACTTCTTAATATCCTCCACTCTCATTGGCCATGTCTCAGAACCATATAGAAAGATCGAACGGATCACGACAATATAGATGCGGACTTTCGTTTTTATGGTGATTTCACGACGATTCTATAAAGGTTTCGTCAACCGGAAGAATGCATTTCTAGCTGCCGTGATCCGAGTTATCATCTTTTGCCTGTCCATTTGGTATTAGAGTGGATCCAAGGTATTTAAAATCGGGCACTTCCTCAACCGGCAATAAATTTGCAAAAAGAGGCATTTTATCAGCTTCTTGTACATAAGACGAAAAAACTTTCGTTTTATTTACATTAATCCTGAGGCAGTTTCTAACACATTATTTAGTATTACTTGCATATCGTTATAACTGTCACTACATCATCAGCGTATTCAAGATCTATGATACGATGCTCTGGACTAATTCGGACACCTCTTGAGTGCCGACAAGCAGTGTCCATTATCCAGTCTATCGTGGCGATTGATCAATATATATCCAATCTGATTGGAATATTGGTCATATGGAGAGTTCGATGTGATTAGATGTTTTCTCCGATGCCGGAAGCATTTATTAATAAAGAGTTCATGCTATTTGGCAAAACGAAGATAGCATTCTCTACTGATACATCGGATGCCATATTACTGAGTTTATCGTGGCTGATCTACGCGTACATTCCAGTTTCCTCCGACCATGCCATTTTTCGGTGCTATTAGAAATTGAAGTTTGAAGTTCCGCATAATATCCTTATTGTATCCCACAAATTATCCTTATTGTAATTGTCTGCGCATAAAGTTGGAGCATGTGCACTGATGACCGAAATATTGCAAAACTTTCCTTTGAAACGCGCGTAGGGCATACGTTCATTTACTGACTTCTACTCAAACAGAGCGGACCGAGCTTTTTCAGACAATCGCTACGCCATTTCGAGTTATTTCGAGTAACCACAGTGATATAACCAATATCTTTGCTCGGACCAGATTTAATAATTACTCGAAAGCCAATAAGAGTAAGACGAACTTCCGACAAACAAGCCACATCCACGCGTATTTAGGAAGGGTATGGACTTGGTTTGCAACGTCCATAAGCGTTCCAAGCAGCTATAACCAGCACTTCGCCAGGAAAACTTATCTGATTCGCAGAAGAAGAAAAAGTATGTAATAATGTGATAACAATGGTACAAAATGGTAAATAATAAATAAAGTATAAAATAATAATAGTAAATTGATAAAATCGTTTTTAATAATTTAGATAATTTAGACGTAAAATAGGAATAAATAATATATAAAATAAAGGAACATTAAATCTGAATGCATAAGAGAAGAAAAATTGGGCCAGCATAATCAAGAATTTACTCACCTTTTTAAAAAAATGTTAGGAAAATTTTGATGTTTTGATGTTTAAAATTCAATATAACAAACTTACGAAAAAAATATTTGACCATGCTGCTATATAATATGGATTAATATAATATGGACGACCAGTTTTAGCTCGTATTAACGCAAAATTTAGGTCAGATACTCTTTGCAAATTCTCGAGATCAATTGGTTGTTCCAACATTTCCTTTAATTCATATGGTATTTTTAACAATTTATTTTATTCTAAAACAAATTTCGACTTATTTTTTAAATAAAAATAAATAAATTTATTTTCAAAGAATTAAAGAAAAAAGAATCAGTTCAATTCTTTACATTTCGCCGAAAAGGATTGAACAAAAAGAAAATAGAAAATATTTTATTAAAATTCAATAAAGCTAAAGAACAGATTAATGGATTATTTTCAGAAATACTTTAAAATACTTTCGCTAACTCTGGTTATAAAATCTTGTCGACAGATAGCAACTGTGAAGACCAGTAATTTGAACATTTACTTGTATTTAAACATTTGAACTAACTCGTTAATTATTTTTCTTGCTATTTTACTTTAAAAAATTTGCAAAATTTTGCATGAATTTAAATTAAAATTGTAATAAAAAACCGTACATCAGGCGCTGGTGATCCATGCAATCTCTCCAATATTAAAACTTTGACTCGATCACTTAACCCATAGTACCGTGTTCCAGTCAGATCAATTTTACAGTTTGGCTTCATTTCACGCAAACATAAGACCAGTAATCGATTTAATTTATATCTTATTAAATTATTTTAATAATAATTTTAACAAATTAAATTATGTTTATTCGTCTATTTGCCCTCAACAAAGAATACATTACAAATATTCATTAAAATCTTGTAATAAGAAAAATTAATAAAAAAATTATAATAAAAATTACATAAAAAAATTTTTGTTAGTGTTAAGGTAAAAAGAAGTAAGTCGAAGTAAGAGGTTTTTGATAGAAATAAATCATAATAAAATATTGCATTTTCTAAGATAGCTTGTATAATATGAAAAAGGTATATAGATATTTTTTATTTTTTATCTCTAAAATTAAAATTTTGATATTTCAATGAGATCCGCAAAAAAATTTTTACAGCATCAAATAATTTTTCCGAAATTATGCTAAAAATAAATTCACCTGTCAGCCAGCCAAACTTTTTCGAGAAAAGGCAATTTATGATCAACGAGAAAGCATTCACACCGATGTAATAATCCTTCCATCTAAAAATTTTCATCTTTCAATTTTTCAATTTGCCATGAATTTTATTGAACTGAGTAAGTGGCTGGCATTCACAAATTCTGGTTCTGTTCAACTAACTTGACGTTTTCACCAAGGAATCATTTAAAAACAGAAATAGGTTTCATCTGAATTTTTCAATTTTTCAAGATTCTCGTAGGAGGCAGAGATCTTGACGCTCGATAGAGGATCTGAACAAAACCACACGACTACCTTGTCTTTGATACTAATAACAATTTGGCCATTCTTAGGGCCACAAATAGGAAAAATATAGCTGATGGAATTATAACTGACAAAATCTTTTTATAAGCATGAAACCATTTTTTCCACGATTTTGTAAATTTATGGTTTAAACCTGGAAATCCACTTGTTTTATATCTCGAATGCTTATTGCAGAGCAATAAAGAAGATATGTATCACAGATAAAAAAAAGGCTTGAATAATACTTGATAATCAAAGGCAAGTGGAAGTAGTATATGTACAGATTGGTCGTCAACATCTTTATAAGTTGGATGAATGCACTGGAGCATTTCTAATACATGGTCATATTGTACGTTTGCTAAAATCAGCTCTCGATCTGGACATTCGATACACCATGCGCTAGATATTTTTAAATAAATTTCATTAGAGCGTTTTATTTTGATTACTTTAATCAGCAAAATTTTCTTAATTATAGAAATTTATGGAGGAAAAAGTAATGCCGATATTTTCCGGATCAGATGCAGACATCGGCAACATGGCTTTTTATATTTGCATACTCTTTCTCCTTACTATTTACCTTCCCCCTAACTCTCATCGCTTTCTCTATCGACTTTTATTATAATCTCGTAACCGTATTTATTTTATAATCCGTAGTTATTTTATAATCTTTGGCGTTATTTGGTGTCATTTTCTGGATGACAATTAGAATCACCGAAAGACACCGTACTTTTAGCAAAATGATATAATTCTAGTAGTTTTTTAAAAAATTTTTATTGCAAAAAATTTAATAGAATCGAAGATTATACCGTAGTATAGGAGACCAAATTGAGATATAGTGCTCGTCAACATAAAGCCGTTTGCCATCAACAAGTAATGGTCGAGTACGTTGACCATCAGGTCTTGAAAAATCAATCACAACTTCTATACAACTTTTCGCTTGTGTTTGATATTTATCCATGTCATTCTAAAATTCAACATAATTATCACACAAAAGAGCGATTAACTGGTACTCATCCAAATTTTGAAGCTATATTGCTAAATATAACGAGATTTTGTGCAACCAAACTTTAAATGAGAGAATAGAATAAACATATTTTAAATACAATTTGACCACAACCCTCCAAATAATTCCATATTTTTCTAGGATTTAAAAATCTTTAATGACAAGTTTCCTCTTGCCAAAGGCAGAGAATCATTCTGATTGTATCTATTAATAGTTTCAATAATAGCCAAAATTGTTCGAAAATTTTTTGTATAGATTAAATATTTTATCTACGAAACGCACTAATCAAAAATCGAAGATAAAAATTCGACTGAAAAATTACCTAAGAAAACCTAAGAAAAATCCAAACAAATTTCTAAATTTTTTGCTTTCTTGATGTTTCTTAATAAATAATCTCTATTTTCACTTTTTTAATCTTTTCTTTAATCTTTGAATGCCTTAAAATCGTCATTTATCAAAATTAATTTACCAAGAAAGTAATGAAACAGGAAAGTAATGAAACAGGATGAAAGGTATTACGCGAAGCTAACAAAGTGCTATTTGCTAATTACCAAATTTTTTAATCTGGCGATAAAAAATATAAGCAAAGAAACTCTAAACTTACAAACAATCATTAAATTTTTTGCCCATGGACCCCCTTTAGATGATGCAATAAAAATTCACAGACCTCCAATGCATTTCTAGCTTTAAAATTTTAAGATATTTTTTAATTTTCTAAGAGCCCTGAGAATTTTGGATGAACATAATTAATCGCATATCACTGATTGGTTCGAAGATAAAAAAGAATAAAATGATTCAAATAAAATAAGAATATATAATTCGAATATATAATTCGAATATATCGAATATATAATATATAATTTGAAATAGGTTTCCTTGAGAATGGCCATGGACCCTAAGAGAGTTCGTAGAGATAGTTTGTTGACAACTGCTTTGAACAAAACTACTAAATTCCTCTGCCAGAATAAATGATAATTGCTGCCAGCATTTCTGGTTAGATTCATCGCATTGACTCATTGGACTCAACAAATTTTATCAGGATAACATGGCGAGAAATATAGGTGGGGTGTCAGCATCACTTGGATTTTTAATGATTTTTTTAGTCTCACTGGAGGCGGCGATGAACCATAAGAATCTCATAATTTTAGAAATTTGCAAATGGGAATAAACGAAATATATTAGGAAGGCGCAAGAAAAAAATATCTTCTTAATGTAAATATGCAGATTTCTAGCATTATTATTATTCGTTTTTATCATCATTATTGTAAATTATTGCTATTAATTGTTTTTTTTAGGAGCTCGTTAGGCTTGTTAGGCTTGTTCTCTGGAACGTCAGTTTAGCAAAATTATTATGATATCGATATATGTATATATTATATATTATTAAGTATATATTATATATATTTATATAAAGTATTATTGCGTAACATTAAAATTACACAACTTTGCGAGCAAAAAACGGTGAATTTTTTAAAAAATCAGGTTTTTTCTTCAGAATTTATTAAATTTTTTTGTTAAATATTATATATTCTCTATCCTTTATTTTATTTCCATAAAGTAATTCTTTGGAAAACTTATGCTGTAAAAATTTTGTAAGAGAAATTCAATAAATTAAAATTAAATTAAAGTAAATTAAAACAATTTATAAATTTTAATGAAAAATGGAAAATAAGATGCATTTGCAATCGAGTTATAGATTGTTATAGTTAAATTTGACGCATAAAGGGGCTGGATAGGGGATCGGATTCCGAAATAATATATTGAAGTTTTTCCGAAATATGTCATTATTGGTGCTGGCTATCATTTCTGTTTTATCGCCATTTAGCTCCCTGACAAAAATTTCTAATTGTACAAAGCCAGCTTAGTGAGCCTAACCAGAAATAATGTGCGCCAAACGCATATAATTAAAAATTTCTGTATCGCTCATCGCACATTAACCAAGAGATAAAGTTGAAATAGAAAAGAAATATTTCCATGGTTTCACTTATCTCAAGATGATAGTTGATTTATTTTTACGCTACAGAAATAAGATTTTGAGACTAAAAGCATTTCAGTGGAAAAATAAAGGAAACTTCGGCAGCAAATAATGAGCTGAAGAACCGAAACCAAAAAGTAACTTTTTTTGACTTAAAATGAAAAATGAACTGTTATTTTTTAAGTGAAATGAAAATCTCGCTTGTAAAATCGCATTTAATCGCCTTGTTTACTCTTTCTTAACGCATAATTTCAACTAAAAAAATTATTAACTATGATTAAAATGTATAAATCTAGCAAGGCCTTTGATCATAATGTATAATAAACTTGGCAAATCATGTCTAAATTATTATAATGCTTATTCTGACAACCAATCAATATAAATTAAGATGGCATGAAATAAGAAAATATTTAAAATCAAATATAGATAGCAAATTGAAGTGATTTTATCCTTAGAAAATTCTTCTTTCTAAAAATTCTAACAGCTGTCACTCTTGTTGGTTAGGCTGGCTCCGGTAAGACGCTTCCCAGCGGCTCGGTCTGATGGCATCGTTGACAATAATAAAAGCCATTTATTTTTCCATCGTCTAAGTCCATATAATGCTGGTCCACCTATGCGTTCAAAATCTTTTCTGATCATATAAGTCAAGGTCTTGATTGGCCCACCTCGCTTTTGACGCTAACCATCACCGGGCTTAGCAGGTAACGAAATATGCATCAACTCCTGTGGTAGACGATGGAGAACGTGCTTAACCAGCGAAGACGACGCTCAGTGATAACATTATTAATATTTGAAAGAAGGTGGATACGATCATATGGTATTTTATCCACTCGACGGTCCTGTAAAATGTACTTTAGACAAGAGTGTGTATCCTTAACAAATTATGATGAATGAATTTGATGAATGAATTCAATGTTTTGCATTGGTAAAGATGCGAAAAAATTACCAGTAGTACTAGTAGATGGTTTATAGCCAAGTATTCTCAGCTAATCATTATTAGAGCAGATTTTACAAATTTTTTTGTTTTGATTTCCATGTTAATTTTTCAAATTTAATGGGCGAAATTTTGCTGTAATTTATAATTTCAGATTTATTTTTGAATAAAATGTTATTAAATATTTCTCAAATATTTTTAATATTTTTTAATATTTTTAAATATTTTTAATTATCTATTCTTAATTTATCAAAAATAATTCGAAAAATTTGGAGAATTAAAAAAAAATTTTGAATACTGAACAATTTTTGTAAAAATATGCTAAAGTTATTTAAGTAAAGTCTAAAAATGAGTAGGGGTAACGCAATTTTTTAAGGAATATTTGTAAATCAAAAGGAATATTTATAAAATTTAAATTTAAATTTGAAATAAAATTTTTTAATATAAAAAAAATATTTGGTAAAAAGTATGAAATTGAGCAAAATGCGAAGTTAAAAGACAAAAGTTATGAAGATATATTCCTATTAATATAATTATTGGAATTTTAGATTATTTTTTAAACCAAATATTTTAATGAAAATCACATATATGAGCCTAAAATCGAATCGGCTTTAGCAAATTGATGCTTAAATTGTTTGCTGATGTAATAATAAAAGCAATTCTCAAAACATTATTGCTTTTGAATATTGACGCACCATTTTTTCCCAATGAAAATTTTTATTAACCTCGCGAATGAAAAAATTTTTGATATTAGAAAGGCGAACAAACGCACTACGCACTACGAATTTTTGAGAGCTAAACTCTTCAAAACAAATGCACGGAAAGAATTGGTAACTGAGTGGAGAGCTTTGACTTTAAGATCATAGTTTCAATTCTTTTTCCGTGAATAAAGCAAAATACTGTGTGCTGTTGGCAGAAGAATTCATAATATATAAGCCTGAAATAATGTCTTCCATCAATTTCTTTCTTTATTAATTTGTTTATTTGTTCAACGTGATGTCCAATAATCAACAGCGCAATTCCTTCTTCTTCTAGCAAACTGTGTTATTACTGGTTAAGCCAGTACTGCTGGGTGATTAAGGATGAAGTGTTTCGAGTCCGATACACCTAAAACACCGAAAAACAACATAAACCACCCATTTTTCCACCTGGGAATTCAAGGTCTTCAAAATCTCTCCTGATTAAATCAACCTATCTTGGTAGATCTTCATCGCTTTTGATATCATCGATGACGGGATTTATTAAGTAATGAGATATGATAAGTCAATTCCTGTATGGCGTAACTAGTAGGCGATGATGTTTTAATACAGATGATATTCGAGTGACGATGAATGAATGCAATGTTGCATTTTTAAAATCGAATTTAACACTGAATAATTACAGAATATTTTTAAAACCAACTGGAATTCCTATCATCGTTAAAATCCTTAAGTCTGGAAAAAAATGAAAATTGACGAAATCGGTTTGATAAAGATTTTTTCCTTTCTTTTGCGACATTTTGCGACAATTGCTTTCTGAAGATCAGAACATGATATTGGTTGCGTATATGCCATATGGATATGAATTGACTCTCTCTTCTGGTTTGGATCCGCTGATTACTAGGTATCCCTTCGCTAGATGACCATTTGGAGACCGTTTGGAACATAAATAGTTCTCCAGTACTACTCGGATTTTACTCGAATTTTAAAGGTTTATCCTCATCGAAGGAAGGCAACTGATCACATGTTTATGATGGGAGAGGAGGAATCAAATTCTAATGCGATATTTTTGAAACATTTCATTAAACAAATGCAAATGTCCGTATGAATATGCGAATTCATCATAAAATAAGGTATAAAAATTTCACACAAAGTCATTCATTTTATCAAAATTGTTGCATCAAAAATTTTTTCCACATTAATTATACTTAAATACATCAATAATATATATATATATTAAAATGGTTAAATAAGTTAATAAATTGGAGAATTGTGAATTGGGGAAAATATGAATTGATGAGAAGTAAGAAAAATGTGAGTTGATGCCAATGAAATAATCATAAAATCG